AGATTCGCGATGTATTCTCGCCCGATGTTATTCTCGTCCTGGCTTCATCTTACACGCGGGCTCGTTCGCGGCCCCATCCCCGCCTGGCCCAGAGGGCCGCCCTCCTCCCCCTCCCCTTCCCTGCCTCCTGCTCCCTCCTGCCTCCTGCTCCCTCCTCCCTCCCTCCCTCCCCCCCTCCTCCCTCCCTCCCTCCTTCCTTTCCTGCCTCCCCCCCTCCCTCCTTCCCTCCCCGGCCTCCCCCTCCCCTCCCTCCATCCCTCCTCCCCTCCTCCCTTCCTGCCTCCCCTCCCTCCCTCCCTCCCTCCCTCCCTCGGCGACGACATTCGAACACCACCCTCGCCGATCCACGATTCCGACAAATCGATGGGAAGGAGGGGCAGATCTCGGAGTTCGTCGAGCCCGTGGGGGACTCCGAGCCCTGCCCCCGCGAGGAGGAGGAGGAGGAGGAGGAGGAGGAGGAGGAGGAGGAGGATAAGGCGGAGGCGGAGGCGGAGGAGGATGAGGAGGAGGAGGATCGATTCAAGAGGATCGATGGATGGCGGGGGATCGGGTTTGGATGTCGCCACCCACTCCCTCCTCTCGCCTGCGGTCTTCTGCCCCTGCTCCGCCCTGGCGCATCCTGGGCCTACAGCTGGCCTCAGCAGGCTCTCGAGCAAGAGCCCCCAAAAAGCACGATCGTGAGCTTTCGGAGCTCCACGCGGATTTCTTGGATCGGCGCTGGGCCCCCCCTCCTGGCGCGCGGGGAGCGCGCCAGGGGTCCAGCGCCAATCCGAGAAGCCCGCGCGGCGCTCCGAGAGTTAGTGATTGTGCAGTGTTCACTCTTTATTTTTGTTGATCTCCTGCGTTTTCTCCCCGACACCGGATCCTGGGCCCACCAGTCGGCCTGAGCCAGCCCGGTGGCCGTGCGTGTCTTCCCTGCTCCTGCCAGCTTTACCGGCATCTCGTGGATGGGGAACGACGCCTACAGGGAGCGCTTCCGGCAGTGGATGGCGAAGGAGCCAGAAGCCTGGCGGCGGGCCCGCGTGCAGCTGGTCCGTGGGCCGAGGCCACGGCCACCATGAGGAGGAGGAGGAGGAGGAGTAGGAGGAGGAGTCAAGCTAGCCAGCTCGAGCGAGTCAAGCATGGCATGCCCAGTCCCACCCGCCCTCCCACAACATAAGAAGCAAAGCTGGCACAACTGGGGGCCGAAGTCACACCGGCCAGCCGGTTTGGTACAGCTGATGCGGCCGCGATGGCGGTTGCCGACGGGAACTGGCGAGCGCGTGTTGAATGCCGCGCACGCATTGCCAGACGAGTCGAGAATGGCCCGGTACACCGCAGGAAGCCAGAGGTGGCCGGAGGAAGCCCGACGGTCTGACAGGACACCCCAAAGCATTTTTGTGAAAAAGCATTGGGTTTTTGATGTTTTTATGTTGAAATGCTTGCAAACACACGGTGTTCGGTAGGATTCTGACATGAACGCGCGAGTGTGCTCTTTGTGGTATTTTTTGCACAGGATTCGCGGCCTGGGTGCATGACAGAGCATCGCGAGTGCACCGCGCGATGACGTGAAATCGCTGGATTTGACAGAATTCTTAAGATTCCTATGGTTTTCCTATGATTTCAGCAAGAGAGCCCGGGCGGGAAATTTGTACAATTTTTGTGAAAAAGCATTGGGTTTTTGATGTTTTTATGTTGAAATGCTTGCAAACACACGGTGTTCGGTAGGATTCTGACATGAACGCGCGCGTGTGCTCTTTGTGGTATTTTTTGCAATGGATTATCGCCGTGGACGACAGGACGTCCATGTCGAGAGGAAAAAATAAGAAAAATGTTGATTTTGTATTGTTTTTTACAGGTTAGGATGGGACCACCCGGATGCGGCCCCTAATGGCCGGCCTGAGGGGGGAGTAGGAGTATATTCTAATAAGGAATAAGGATAGGAGTAGGAGGAAGGAGGAGGAGGAGAGGAGGAGGAGGAGGAGGAGGAGGAGGAGGAGGAGGAGGCGGAGGACAAATAATAAGCGAAACAAACATACACTTTAATCGGTCCGTGCGGAGTTCTTAGGTTGCGCTGGGACCCCCTGGCGGCGCATCTGGCGCCGTCCCAAGCGCTCCACGCGCCGCCAGGGGGGGGGGGGGGGCAAACTCAGATCCGAGAAATCCGCGAGGAACGTCACCAGTTTATGTTTATGCCGTTTGTTGTTCTTCTAGAGTCGGGTATAGCAAGGACCCCAGGTAAGGGGACCCGGTTAGTAGTACGGCCTGGGAGCCCCTAGAATGGCCAGGATCGCTAAACCAGGTCTGCCGTTTAGCTGGCGTTTTTGTTCGGGGCACGGCAGTTCCGGTTAGTGGATCGGGGCGTGGTGGGCGTCCCCCCGTAAACATTCCCCAATCAGTGCTTGCACTGAAGGGGTCCTAGCGGGAGTTGAAAGATTCCGCCGATTTTGGTAGCAGGCTGGGTTCCCGGGTTCCTGGTTCCGTGTTCCCGGGTTCCTGGTTATTGGTTCCGGGTCGATTTCGGTGGGTTTTGGGTTCCGGGGTTCCCAGATTCCGGGTCGATCATTTCTGCGAAAACCATATTTTGATTGGGGTTGTTCTTTCGTGTAATCGCTGAACCAGATCCCACTTAAATCCAGCTCTTCCAACGCCCGATATAGGAGGACCTCGTGGTTTTGACGTTGTTTTTTTTTTCACAGCGGGTGACCTTGCCTTGTCTCGGGACCCCGCGGCCCTCACAGATCGATCGTGCTCGAACCTGCCGCAGAAAGGTAGGGTCTGTGGCACCAGTGTTGAAATTCCCGAATGTCGCATTGTCTGGTTTTGGCTAAACATATAACATACATGCATGCACATCGCAAACATGATTCATGTGTATGAAGAAAACACGCATATACGTATGTCTGATACTTATACATATATATATATACTTATATATATATAAATCATGGCCAGATCTCAGAGGCGGAGGGGGCAGAAGGATCCGTGAGGATCCGAGGCCGGAGGATCCAGGAGGAGGCAGGGTCCGGCCTCTCGGAGGGTCCTCTCGGAGGAGGAGGAGGGTCCTCTCCGAGGAGGAGGAGGAGCAGGAGGGTCCTCTCGGAGGAGGAGGAGCTGGAGGATAAGAGGCCTGGGCTCACGAGGAAGAGGTAGAATGAGAAGGAGGAGGAGGAGGAGGAGCCCTCCCCCTCCCTTTGAGCCTCCCCGCTTCGGATGCAACTCCTGGGAGGTCACATTCTGACGTTGCCCTGGTCCGAAGTCCGGCTTAAACTTGCCTGATGCCGCTAAGTTCAGTTGAATTCCGTTCAATCGTCTTATATCCAGTTTACTTTGATGATGTTCAATCCGCGGCCTAATCAGGCGTAGCAGTCCCCCAATGGGGCGTCATCCTCCTTTATAGTCCTTCCGACGAAGGCCTCTCAGCAAGTACCTCCTGACCCCCGGACCTGCCCCTCCCCCCCCCCCCTGGCCGAGCTGCCCAAGGGGTGTGCGGCGGGAGGCCCCTTCGACGGGGAGCAACCAACACACAAGCAGCCGCTTTTGCGGAGCTCCGCGCGGACTCCTCCGGTCGGCGCTGGCGCCCCCCCCCCGCGGGCGGCACTATCCCGACGCGCCGCCCCTCGACCTGCTCCGCGCGCCTTGGGGGCTGGGGGTGCAGCAGGACCGAGGTGGAAGATCGAGGGCGGTTCGGGGAGGGGGCCTTATTCAGAGTTTCCGAATCAGCGTCGGGGGAGCGTCACCCCCGCCGCCAGCCCCACATCGACCCCCGTCGCGGGGAGCCACCGAGCGCCGAAGGCGCTCCGACCCCCGTCGACGACGAGGCGAGGTTGACTCCCGTTGGATGGGTACCCCCCCCCCCCCGATTGAAAAACCCAGGGTCATGTTCTTCGTTCCTGTTGGGTGTTCTTGGTGGTCGTTTTCTTGCTCACTGTGTTGCCGACTAGCGCGGGTCCTCGCACCCCCTCCCCCCCACATGGAAGTCGATCTTTGCTGTTTTCGGCGCCTGTTTCCAGCAGGTGGAGTCTCCCCCGTAGGACGCACTGCTGCAGACAGTCGCAATAAGCAGAGGTCCAGAGGCAGACTCCCCCCCTTCCGCCCAATGTCGAAACGCAGGAAAAAAACGTTCACCTAGTGTCCTTAGTGTTTGTTGGCTGTTTTTGTGCATCCTGGGAAGGATATCTTTGGACTTATGTTGCTCCCATCGTACTTACGGACCACATCTCAGAAATAATTTCGAGCACCCAGAAAAGTATCGAAACAGTGTAGAACGAGTATCGCCTCCCAGTGCCCGACACGTGAAAACCATCAGACTTATGTATTTCCTTGGTGCTCGAAGTTCTTTCTGATGATCAAGGCTAAAGTAGGCTGGAACATCGTAACCTTGGATGTTCTGTGCGTTCTTGCCGGCGGAGGGTCTCGTGTTTTTGAGGGACGCTCTTCTTTCCCAGGCCCGACGGCGCGGCGCCGATCCAAGGGATCGCATGCGCGGATCGGGGGCGGATCCATGGCTGGCCACCGTCCCTGCCTGTGTGCCTTGTGCCGGACCAGCGTGTTTTCAGGAGGGAACAGCCACACAGACACGCAACTCATCGTCGATTCCCACGGAGGATAGAAGATATGGAAAGTGGAGGGGAAGGCGAATGTCCAGAACATGCATGGATACGATTGGGGGGTCCTGGGATGTGTGCCTATTGATTTGCGTGTCCCTGAGCCCCTTCAATTTGCGGAGGTGGTGTGCAAACACTGTGTCCCCAGGGTACGCCATGTTCATACACCATCCCCGCTCCGCGGCCCTGTGCCGCACCAGCTTGTTTGTGGGGGTTGCGTACACGAATCGCGCCTCCAGCGAAGCTTTAAGTCGGGCTTGTCCCTCTACAGGGGGAATATCCAATCATTGTTAAACATAGTCTGGGGACCACCTCTGTTTTTTTCGTAATGTTCTAACATGTTTTGAAATACTTTTGATGTTCCCTCCAAAATCCGCCTGCAGGAGGACATGCAGGACCTAAGCGAAGCTCCGAATGTTTCACTTCATGCGGCCGGCCCCCGGGAGCGCTCCCCTCGGGGGACCGGGCGGACTTCGGCAACGGCAACTTATCCGTGCACGAGGAGCTCCCCAGACTCATCCTGGTGGGCCTCGCGGCGCAGCGGCCGAGGGTTCCCCTGGGCGGCCTATAGGTGCGGAGGTCTTGGCTGAGGCCCCTAAACGGTGTGGTGACCACACCGCGTGGTGAATCGCCAACGTCGCCGATGCGTCGCCGTCGTCGCCGATGCAGATGCTGCATCGCCGATGCATCGGCGGTGCGGGGCGATCCTCCGACCCGATCAACGTACTCGGACCCCATTTGGGATGCCTCTGACAGGCGGGGGGAGGATCGGGGGCCCCCAGGCGGTGTGGCCACTTCGCGTGGTGAGTCAGAGGGGGTTTGGGGTCGCCGCGCGGTTTTGGGATTTGGGCCGTTCTTTGAGGATGTCTCGGGCGACTGGGGCCTGCACTCCCCTGTGCGGGTCGTGCGTGGCGGGCCCCACCCCCCCAGTTAAGGTGCGCTCGCCTGATCCAGGCGCCGCCTCTCGAGGCGTTTTGGCGCCGCCGCGCCTCGCCACCACCGCTCAGCGAGCGCGTCGGGGAGGGGCCGTGCATGAGGTCCTTCGGGATCTCGAGGTCACCTGGCAGTCCGTCACCCCACGCAGTTGTAAGGGGAAACCCAGTCTGGCGGGGAGGGGCACCGTCTCTGGGGACTGGCGCCTCAGGGGCAACGGTATGGGAGGAGGAGGAGGCGGAGGAGGAGGAGTTGGAGGAGGAGGAGGAATAGTGATTCGAGCGGCCGTGCCACAAGCCCGTGCTTTGCTCCACCGCGGCTACTGAGCCAACGAGGACAGATCCGCGGTGTCTCGGTACGTGTCAGGAGGAGTAGGAAGGCTTAATCAGTTTTCATGGGCCTGTTTTCCACCACCACCACCATAAGTTGGAGGGGGAACGAAGTGGAGGACGAGGAGGAGGACGAATAGGAGGAGGAGGAGGAGGAGGAGGAGGACGAGGAGGAGGACGAGGAGGAGGAGGAGGAGGGGAATGAGGACCCCCTTCCCCTCCTGCTTCTGGTGGTGGTGGTGGTGGAAAAGAAGCCAACCAAAAGATTCCTGGAGCAGAGCTTGCACTTAGTTGGGCTCCCGCTTACCTTCTGCATCATCATCATCATCATCATCATCATCATCGTCATCATCATCATCATCATCATCATCATCATCATCATCATAATCATCATCATCATCATCATCATCGTCATCATCCTCATCATCATCATCATCGTCGTCGTCGTCGTCGTCATCGTCGTCGTCTGGCGGTGCGGGCGGCAATGCGGCCGCCCGTCGCCGCCCCCACCGCCGACGCCGGCTCCTCCGGGCAGCTGAGCGCCCGGGTTGCGGCTGTCGGGCGGGGCGTGTGGCCTCCTCCTCCTCCTCCTCCTCCTCCTCCTCCTCCTCCTCCTCTCCTCCTCCTCCTCTCCTCCTCCTCTCCTCCTCCTCCTCCTCCTCCTCTTCCTCCTCCTCCTCCTCCTCCTTCTCCTCCTGGGCCTTGGCTCGCATAGCACTGCGTTTCGCTGCAGTCGCAGTGCGCAGTGCTTTTTCCACGGCATCGCGCCGCGCTGCAATCGCCGTGCCTTGCATTGCAATCCCACTGCAACGCATCGCTTCGCACGGCGCTGTGCTGCGCTGCCTGGCTTTGTGTGTCGTATTGCATTGTTGGGCATTGTTTTTTGCATTGTCTTGCATTGCGTTGCGCAGCTGTTCGTTGCCGGGCACCTCTTTGCATTGCGCTGTTTCGCGTTGCTCTGTGCTGGTTTGCACTGCTTTGAGTTGCTTTGTATTGCGTTGCGTTTCTTTGCACTGCTTGACTGTTATTTGCCTTGTTGTTTCGTTGCTTTGCATGAATTGCACGTTTTTACCGCGTTGCTTTCCGGTGCATTGCGTTACTTTGCATAGCCTTGCGTGTTTTGAATGCGTTGTATTGTTTTGTATTGCGTTGCACCTCTTTGCGATGCTTTGCGCTGCTTTACACGATCTTGCATTGGATTGTATTGCTTTGCGCCACATCGATTGTACCACTTGGGTTGCACCACCTAGATTGCGGCACGTTGAGTGCGCCACGCAGATCGCCCTGCACATCATTGCTTGGGGTCCACGCTGGCTAACATTTGTTGTGTTTTGCGTGGTTTCGTGGGTTCCGAGAGGTTCTCCTGCCTCGGGATGCGCTCTGGCAGCTGCGCCTCGCCGAGGGCGTTCCCGGGGTGGCTGGGTCGTCCAGAACGGGCGTCGGAGAGCCGAGATATGGTTCGACGGCCAGGGGTTGCCGACAGGGGGGGTGGGGACTGGCCGAGAGGGGGAAGCGGTGGCGCCCAGACGCCCATTCATCGCCAGTCGGGGAGGCGCCCCCAGTGGCGGTGTACAGTCAACCCGCGTAGTAAGGATGTGAGGATTGGCAACCTTCCCAAGGGAACCCTTGCATCCTGGCCTCCTCGGCCCATCCGTGGCCAGTTTTGTCGGCCGCGCCCCGTTCGAACAACTTCGACGTGGCTTGACTGCATTGTCGGGTCCAGATCATCGGCCACTCCCCAGAGCCAGCCCCCCCCCATTCAGAGGTGGAGGAGAAGGGCTTCGCGCCGCACCGTTCTCGGCGGCGCGAGCCATGGGGTGGGGTCTGGGGGGCGGCCTGCGAAGAAGGCGAGGTGCCTCCTTGGAGACAAGGGGCCTTGACAGAAGGGCCCTGGCGGTTCCAATGATGGGCCTGCCTTCCACCACCACCACCACCATGAATTGGAAGGGGGGAGGAGGTGGAGGACAAGGAGGAGGACGAAGAGGAGGAGGAGAAGGAGGAGGATGAGGAGGAGGACCCCCTCCCCCTCCTACTTCTGGTGGTGGCGGTTCAAAGCAAACCCACCATCCAAGGGGCTTCTCTGCAGCCGAGGCGGCTTCTCTGAAGGCCTCTGCCGCCTCTGCCTGCTCAGAAGGCCGCCCCCCTCGCGCCGCAACCGAACTTCCCGACAGTATGTCCAGGGACCGTGGCTGTCCAGTATGTGGCGGCCTCTTCCTGCATCCGACGCTGCATCGGCGCGGATTCGACGGACACTCGACGCGGGTAATTGGCGGCGCGATGGGGCGGATAGCGCTCCCCGAGAATGCAACATGACATGCGTGGGAGGAAAGGGGGGGGCGTGACGGAGAACGGGAGAGGGCGTGACGAATAACGGGAGAGGGCGTGACGGAGAACGGGAGGTGCGTACACTTCGCAAGGAGGTTGGCCCCGCGTTGCCCTTCGAACGAGGGCACATCATGAAGATAAGCGTTCGGAAGGCTGCGCAGATCTTGTGGATTGGCGTTGGACCCTTTCTCTAGTGCGCGGAGCGGAACGTGCCAGGGGCGTCGCCGGTGGCGCCGTGAGGGGGTCCACGCGGACCTCTGACAGTTTAGGTGTCGTCCGTCATTCTTGTTGTACAGTCGGTTCGTGTCGGGTCGACGCGGCAGCGGGGGGCTTTCACGGTTGAACGCTCAGAATCGGTTAAAGATTTAGCGATCGAGGAAACCTTCAGATCGTTCAGTGCTGAACGACCGATCCACGTAGTGTAAGTCACCTGCGCTGGGATCGTCAGTGCATGGAGCTTCCGCATTCCTCCTCCCGCCCCTCCTTCTGTTCCGCCCCCCCCCCCTGTCTTCTCTCTTTCTCTCTCTCTCTCTCTATCTCTGTCTTGTCCTCGGTCCCCCTTCCTCCTCCTGTCTCCCCCTGCCTCTTCTCTCTCTCTCTCTCCTCCTGTGCTCTCTCATCTGCCGTCTTCTCTCCTCCGTCCTCCTCTTCCTCGTGTTCTCCCTTCCTCCTCGTTATCGTGCTTTCTTCCTCCCTGTGTGGAGGCCGCGGCTAGTTATGAAGAACACTGCTTGCACACAGGCACAGGGTAACTGCGAGGCGTCGTCGGTATCGTGCGTCGAGGCGATGGACAACGTGGACCGCCTGCAGCGAGAGGCGCCTCGTCCCATGCAGGAGGAGGCGGCTGAGGACTGGAGGACGCCAACTATATATATATATATATATATATACATATGTACACACATTTCTACCCAGTTACCCCCGTGCTCCTCTCGTCGCGACAAGGATGCGCCGTGATGTTTGTGGCCGTCTTCGGCCCTCACGTGCCCTCGCGGGACCCTGGGACCTTGACGACCTCCACGGGGAGAGTTTCCGCGGCCCCAGGGAGCAGGCATTGGCTCGGTGTGTGTGTGTGTGTGTGCGCGCCTTGTCGGCCACGCCGGGAGGGTTTCGTGCACCCATCTTTAGCCCGGGGCAGGCACAGCCAGGACGGGCGCAGGTCTGACTGGGTGAAGAGCGGCACGACGTTGGTTATCGCTGTTTCGCGAGCGGGGACGCCTGTGCCGTGGTTGCGTGAAAGTCCATGTTCGCAGCCGCCCTTGAGAGCAAAGTCTTTTCCCACATGGCGGAAGAACGCTCTTCACCCGCACGTGTTCAGCTGACGTCCTCCCGGTGGAGTCAGGAGGCGGAGGAGGAGGAGGAACATCTTGACGCATTCGCCCCCTTCTGGGTCCTGCCGAGCGGCCGCCGCCGTCGTCGGCTGGGCCCGGGTAGAACATCTTGTTAAGAATGTGTTCCAGTACGCCAGGCTCGTGCCGTCTGGACGCGGCGGCGACTCCAGCGCGGGCGTTCAAGGTTGATCGCCGCCAGCGGCCCAGAATCGGCCGGCATGGAACGATCCGCGGTATCGGACAGTCGCGATCGTTCAAGATTGAAGGATCCTCGAAGTGTCAGAAATCAATGCCTACGTCGCTACAACATGAAGTTGCCATGCAGGTTCAGGGGCGTGTGGATCAAGGCAAATGGCACGCTCTCGACCTTCATCCTGCAAGTTTACCTCTAAGAATGTGCCGGTATCAATCTTCAGCATTCGAATTTGAAACATTGCCAAACATAAACGTCCGCGCGGATTTCTTGTAGCGCCGCTGAGCCCCCACCTCCTTGGCGCGCGGAGCGCGCCAGGGACGGCGCCAGAAGCGCCGCTGGGGGAGTCCAGTGCCGATCCACGAAATCCGCGCAGATTTCCGAAAGTTGCTACTCGGGTTTTTTTTTGTCTGCTTGATGCCAGCATGGAGGTCTCGACGTCCAATCAGCCATCCTGGATGCCCTTTCTTCCATCTGGCCGACCTTCGGCTGACTTGAGCCCCCTGACACCTGCTCCTCTCCCTTCTCCTCCTCATCAGATGCCGCAGAAAAGCAGCATAAACACAAATGTTCGAGGGTCCGCGAGGATCTCTCGGGTCGGCGTTGGCACTCCTTGGTGTCGCCAGTGGCGCCGCCCCTGGCGCGCTCCGCGCGCCAGGGAGGGGTGTCCAGCTCCGATGCAAGAAACCCGCGCGGACCTCAGAACTTTTTAATTGGCGCAGTGTTCTCTTCTTCCATTCCCCCCCTGCCTCCTCATGTCACTGCTACTCCCCCTCCCTTCCCTCGTTGTCTGTTGCGGCAGGTGATCGCCGATCTGCCGGCACACCTCAAGGAGGGAGTGCGCTACCTGGACGGCCAGTATTCGAGGAGCCCCCTTCAGGGGTGCCTCCCTCCTCCACCCTCCCTCCCTCTCCATCTCTCCTGATTCTCCCCCTTCATCACCCTGCCGCCAAAGACGCTGACATTAGGACCGTGTTGGGCTCAGGAGGGGCCTCGGGTTGTCGGGCCGCTCCGTAGGATTACGTCGTGGAGCCTGTCTGTGGCATACTCTTTCCGTGCCCAGAAATGCCCCTTGGTTCCTTTTATTTCGCGTTCCTTGTGGTAGCTGTACCGTTCTCCACACATGAGCGACGTAAACAAGGTCGTCTCCACCGACACTGTTGCGTAAGCCTCCCGCGTACGGTCGCGCGTAAACGCCCTCTGGTTCCCCAAGCTATGTGCCGCGTTGGCGGCCCGCGTAAACCGGGGCGTACGGTCGCTATGCCATCTCGCGTAAGACCCGTGTTTGATCGTCGCTCATTTGGTGTTTCATCCCAGGCGCTATGATGTTCCAACCTACTTCAGCCTCGATCACAAGAAAGAATTCCGATCACCAGAACAGTACCGAAACTGAAGGGTTTTCACGTGTCGGGCCCTTGGAGGCGATACTCGCTCGACACTGTTTCTATACTTTTCTGGCTGCTCGAAATATGTTCTGGGATATGGTCCTTACGTGCGATGGAAGCAAAATAACCCAGGCGGAGCGTCTCTCCCTCGGAATGGGAACGAGGGAGAGTACTTCCGTCCCGACGGCTCGCCGCTAGGGGTGCGCCGCCCCCGCTTGTCTGAGCAGCCTGCCACTCTTCAGGGGCCGCCGGCCTTACCGAGGCGCCTCGCAACGACGACGAACGGATAAAGATGTCCAGCAACACGAGGAATAGCAAAGTGCAGGTGATCGCGCGACGAAGTTCGAACCGATTCGAGGTCGCGCGTTGGATGGTTGGCGACGCCTTCGTCACTTGAGGGGGCGGTGGGTTTGGGCGAAGCGCCGCGGCCCCCACTCGGAAACACAAAATCTACGTCTAACCCCCCTGTCGGAAATGCCAAATCAACATCTAGCGATTTCTGGCCCCTCCCCTCAGGTTCAGGAACAGCCCGACTATCGGAAGAGTACCCTTGCACTCTTCGTGCTGGGGCCCTGTGCGCCGCGTATGGCTGATCGTTTTGGGTACTCTGACCCTGGGTCAAGGGGGGGCCGCATCTTCGCGCTGGCGCCATGCACGGCTGGATCGCAGCTTGTGGAGCACAGCATCAGGGACGCCTGCATGCGCTGCGCCTCGCCGAAGGGGGTGGTGTGCGCGATCGCGCTGTGGCCGAGGAGCAGCTGACCCGTCTTGGTCCACCTGCCGTCGTGGCGCGGCTCGGGCTCGGGCTCTCGCTCGGGCTTGGGCTCGGGTGCGGGCGCGGGCTCGGGATCGGGCTACGAAGCCAGAGTGCAAGAAACCCAGCTGTTCGTCGTGGCCGTCGCACATCTTGACGTCTGCTCTCGTGGAGGAGGAGGAGGAGGAGGAGGAGGAGCAGGACTCCAAGCCAACCTCTTATCCGCGTCCGGCGCTCTAAATCCACGGTACTTCTCACCCGGGAACCCCCAAGGGCCGTCCCGCGCGCGCGATCTCGCAATATTCAAACACTCGGACCTCTAACTGGAAATCTTAGCACGCCTTTGTCCCGTTGGACCGTCGAATTACCTCCCTCGTTTGAGCGACGCAAAACAGGGGTCGTCTGCGCCGACATTGGCGCGTAAGCTGCCCGAGTAAACTCGCGCGTAAGTGCCTTCGCTTCCAATGTGGCGTGCCGCGCTGGCGGCCCGCGTCAGCTACGACGTGAGGTCGCTATGCCGCCTCGTGAAAGGCTCTGTCCTTTTCTTCGCTCATGCGGCTCTACCTACTGCTCGTCAGCACCCCTCATCTTCCCCCTCACCATCCACTATTCTTACCATCTCCTCCTCCCACAGGAGCCTTCCGCAGGGCTACCACTGCGCCGAGACCAGCTACCACCTACCGGGTGTTGTGACCGATCAGCGCTTGAACCACGCTCTTCACGCCGTCTGCGCTGCAGGATGAGGACAATTGGTGAGGGAGTACTTCGCCTCTGGGTCGAGTTTGTCGGGCCCGTTGTCGTTGACCCACATGTCGCGTCGACGCAAAATTCATCGCAGAACGTGGAGGAGGATGCGGATGCAGAGTGACGATGAACGAGAAGGTATACCATTATCAGGGTAAAGGTTGTGACGATGTTCATGGTGGTGATGCTGATGATGGTGCTGATGATGATGATGATGATGATGATAATCATAAGGCTATGATGAGAATGAGAATGGTGATGATGATGATGATGATGACGATGATGATGATGATGATGATGATGCTGATGGCGATGGTGATGATGGTGCTAACGATGATGATGATGCTGATGATGATGACGATGATTGTGATGGTGAAGATGATAACGATGGCGATGATGACAATGATGATGATGATGATGATGATGATGATGATGATGATGATGATGATGATGATGATTATTAGGAGGAGGAGGATGCTGCTGCTGCTGATGATGATGTTGATGCCGATGCTGATGCTGATGATGATGATGCTCATGTTGATGATGACGATGATGATGATGATGGTGGCGCTGCTGGTGATGATGATGATGATGATGATGATGATGATGATGATGATGACGGTGACGATGAGGATGCTGATGCTGATGCTGCTGATGATGATGATGTTGGTCATGAAGATGATGATAATGTTGATGATGATGAGGAGGAGGAGGAGGAGGAAGAGGAGGAGGAGGCATTTGACGAGGAGGAGTAGGCCGCGGTTGATGCGGAAGATCCGTGGAAGGTGGCGAAGGTAGAACAGGGCCCGCGCAGGCGGAGAAGCGCTCGGAACCCGGCGCTCGCAGACAGGATTTGCTGCGTAGAGGTCCGCTTTGACATGCGCCGCGCCCAGGGATTCCAGAAACGGCGAGGCCTCCCCACATGTTCAGGTTTGAAGCTCGACCCGAATCGAAAGCTGGGCGAGGGCTGCTAAAACCGTGGCTGCTAAAACGGCCCTCCCGGAAGGAAAAAACAACTTCCCGGAATGAGGTGCGGCACGCGAAGCAGTCAACGGGCTTCTTTCCTGGAAGGACGAAGACAACTTCCCAGAGTTCGATTTTGGCAGCCGCGGACTGAGCAGCCCTTGCCCGGCTTCCGACCCAAGCGCGAGGACTGGATCCCAGATCGTGGTGCCCCCCTCGGGCGGAGGAGGAGGTGGCGTCGTTTGGCGGGAAGGGGCATCACGACGAGGACGGATAGAGGAGAGGAAAAGGAGAGCAAGAGGAGAGATAGTTTTCGAAGACGTTCTGGCAAGTTTTGAGAGAGGAGGTGGAGCGAGATGCCGCGCGACCATTACCCAATTTGGTGCGGGTGCCCCCATGGCCCCTTCTGCCGACCTCGCCAGGTACGGTCAAGTACGGAAACAACCTCAAGCACGATCATTTACTTCAGAGCGTATTGACATGGTTTCTTTAGATCCTACCTGAGAATGACCAGGATCGATTTTGGAGAGGGAACCCGAAGACGATCAGGCTGAGCACGAGAAATGTTTGCAGGTTACTCCCCTCCCAGGGGGGAAGGCACTGGGAGGTCAGCTTCTGCCCGTCGGGCTCCACGGGAGGACGCAGCTGCCCGCCAGTTTCGTTCATTTTGTGCAGGAGCGCTCCTGTCCCCGAAGCTCTCCCCCATCATTCCCTCTTCGCAGGAAATTTCTCTCGCCCTCTCCTCCAGTTTCCGAGCTCCCCCGCCAAAACTGGCCGCTCTGACAAGGAGGGGAGTTCATGATGATTGGAACATGCCCACGACTCAATCTAAAGCCGATCACAGGGCGAGCTGCCCTACGGAAAAAACTAACTCCCCAGACCACCCACGCCCAAAGGGCTGGTGGGTCTCGGAGGAACACTCCCAGGTGCCTTTTTGGACGCACCATTGCGCAAGTAAGCAGGATGGACGCCCCCCCCATTCCATCGAAGAAGGAAAAGCGGCATGAGTATGAATTTTCGCAATTCCGCGCGGATTTCTTGAATCTGCGTTGGAGCCCCCCGGCGGCGTCGCCTCTGGCGCCGCCCCTTGCGCGTTCCGCGCGCCAGGGGGGGGGGTCCAGCCAGCGCGGAGCCGAGAAATCCGCGCGGACCTGCGAAAGTTTAGATTGCCTATGCAGTTTCTAGTTCCTCTAATTGTGTATCCTCGAGCTGTCCCCGAGTTGGTCTGCAGGGTCTAGGCCTCCTAGATGGGGTCGGAGTTGATGGGGTTGGAGGATCGCCCCGCATCGCCAAGGCATTGCCGATGCGACTCGATGTGGAGCCCGATTTGCTTCACGTCGTCGTCGCCGATGCATCTCCGACATCGACGATGTGTCGCTGGTGCATCGCCGATGCATAGCCGATGCATCGCCGATGCTACTCGGACCCCATGTAGGAGGCATTTATACAGGCCCCCCTCCCTCCTCGAAGCTACCCCTGCCCTCGGGGAGCCCACCGCGAGCGAGCCTCTTGGGCCGGACAGGGCGCGAGCGGCCTCGGCCCCATCCGCGCAGGCCGCTGGTCGGCCCGTCCGTTCCGGGAGCGTCGTCGTCGTCGCGTCGTCGTCGCCACCTCAGTCGACGTCGTCGTCGTCGACGTTCCTCGTCGTCCGTAGTCGTCGTAGTCGTCGTCCGTCGTCGTCGTCGTCGTCTTCGTCGTCTTCGTCGACCGTCTTCGTCAACGTCGTCGTCGTCGTCGTCGTCGTCGTCGTCGTCGTCGTCGTCGTCCGTAGTCGTCCGTTGTCACCGTTGTTTTGCCGATCCGCGCGGGTCCCCGCGCACCCCCTCCAGGGCTCGCTTCGACTCCTCCCGCTCGATCCGATTCGATGCCGATTCCGATCCCGCTCGACTTCGGATGCCGGTGCGGGCCCTGATGTCTCAGCCGAGGCCTTCCCAGCCTGCCGGCTTCCGGCGATTCGACTTCTCCCGACTTGGCTGCCGATGTTTGTCGATCCGAGTCGTTTCGCTGAGCGAGCCGAGTGGTCGATTCGACGGTGGGCTGTCCCGCCCCCCTTCCCCAGACATTTTTTTTTGTATACAGCCGCAGGCGAAAGCGCCGACGGCGGGCGGTCACGGTCGGGCTGCGGCCGCGACTAAATTCCCGGGCGCGCGCGGGGGCCGCGGATCAGGCGGCGGGGGGGGCAGCGACCCAGGGCGTCTGAGAAGCCAGGCGAGCGTGCAATCCAGGGAGTCTGCAAGGAACGAGACCCAGACATGACTGCGTCGTGAAAGAATCATGACGGGCAATGTTTCACTATTTTGGGCCCCGGGGGGGCCCTCGCCCGGCCTCGGGACCGTCAAGCAACGATGCAGGACGAAAAACCGGTCCCGGGGAAACGGCCGGGACTTCGAGGGACGCCGTCCTGAAAAAATCAGGACGTCGCATGTCTGAGTCCCCCCCACCCACCAAACCACCCCAACCCAACCCGAAACCCTCAATTTGCCTTCCATTTCCAGTGGGGGGGGGTCGGGGAACGTTGAAAGAACACATGGTATCCGTACCCCCCCAACCCGAAATTCGGGTCAAATTCGGGTCTTCGGGTAGGGATGGGGTGGTCTGGTAGGTAGTCAAGTCCCCCCCATGGACCAACGCTTGGCCGCTTTCGGCGGCTGCTCCTGGCGACCAGTAAGGACCCCCCACCCCTGCAGTCTGCCCGAGCGCGAGTGGCAGAGGCAGCCCGGCGCAGCACCGGCCCAGACCCAGACCCCTCCCCCTTGGGCGCGAGTGCTGGGGGGGCGACAGCTGGGGGGGAGAAAGGCCCTTTTAGGGGCCCCACAGAGCCCCTTTTCGGCAGCCCTCGCTGCCCCCCCCCCCCACCCCTCGCCCCGCCACTTGTCGCCCCCCCCTACGACGCGTCCTCCGAGCCCCCCTTTTCCGCCGCCACCCTTCGGCCAACTGTCGAAGCACAGCATTCAAACAAGAGCCCTGACGTCTCGCCCGCGTTCCTTCGCCCCCGGTGGCTCACAGCGGCCACCCCGCGGCCCGCCCCCCAGGGGCTCGCCCGGGGGCACAACCCCTGCGTGGTGCTCCTCGTGATGTCCGCAGGCCGCGCCCCGGCTGTGCGCGCGCCCTGCCGCCCATCGTCCGTCGACGTGTTCGTTGTGGTCGTCGTCGTCGTCGTCGTGGTCGTGGTCGTAGTCGTTGTCGTCGTCGCCGTCATCGCCTCCGTCGCGGCCGTCGTCGTCGTCGTCGTCGTCGTCGTTCTCGTCGTTCTCGTCGTACTCGTCGTCGTCGTCGGCGGCGGCGGCGTCCACAGTCCTGCTTCGGCGTTAGGCTCCAAGGAATTCCATGCCTTCAGCTGGGTGCCGGAGTAGATGGGGTCGGAGTCGTCGATCTATTCACCCCCTTGTGCCTCTTTCACGATCTTGCATGACTGCCAGTGCCGCCGATGACGAGAAGGGGGCCGTGGCCCTGATCAGGTGCCCGCCACGCGCCAGACCTGCCCACGTTTCCTCTCGACTGCTGCGAAGGGGTAGCGTCCCAAGACAGACTAGGGCCCATGGGCAGATACTCTCTTTTTGAGGGTGTGTGGTTGTCCCATTCTCTCGTATTCCTTTGAAGATACATCGCCTTTTTGTTTTCTTCTTGAATGGGCACGGCACCCCCCTATCTAGAGTGCCGAGTGCCTTGTGCGTTCTGGGAGCTCGAGCCCGGCCTGCCTGCGATCCTCCTCGCCAGTTGCGGCCCTGCGCTACCTTTCCTGCTCAGTGCTCTGGCGCGGAGGCTGTCGTCGACCCGGCGGTATCCATGCGTATTTGTGACTCGGTGCCATCGCTTCACTCGGCCGCACCGTTGCTAGCGCGTTCGCTCCTGCTAGTTCGGGTGCAGCTCCTGGGAGGTTCAATTCAGCATCGATGCTGGCAGATCCATGGTCAATGACTGGCCAAATGCGCCAATATTTTGGACTTCCGCTTAATCAGGCTTGATTGGGCCTCGTCGCTCTAAGTAACGGTCGCTACCCGGGCAACACCCACTTGGGCACCTGTAGCGAGCGTACCCAGGATGGACGGGGGCTTGACCCCCCCCCCTCCCACCCTCCCACATGCTGGTGCTCGGTCGCATCCTATGGCTATCGCACCGCACCCCCGCCCCGACGTGCCCCTCCCTACCCCAAGTGCTACTGTTTCTGAACATATTTCTAAAGCACTGTCCCGTGAGCTGCTTCCTGGTACAGTGGGACTGAGGTACAAGATCGAGGTCGGTGCGGGGAGGGTACCCCCTAATATTCTTCGTCCTTTCTGGATGGATGCTCTTGTGCATCCTGGGGAGGGTGCCCTTTGATGTTCTAGAGCGTCGTTCTGGCCGGCGGAAGGTCCCATGCTCTCGGACCTTGGAGAATGTTCTTCTGCCCTAGGTCTGGCTGTACTTGCTCTCCCTTGCCTCGAAGAAGACACAAACGCATAAACTTAGACTTTCTGCGCACCGCGCGGGTTTCTTGTGTCCGCTCTGGGTCCAGGGCGCCCCCCCTGGCGTGCTCCGCGCGCCAGGGAGGGGCGTCCCGCGCAGATCCAAGAAATCCGCGCGGAGCGTCAGAAGTTTATGCCTGCTGCTGCTGGCAGTGGTACTTCTTGGCTCCCACAGGCGCGCTTGGAGGCAGATGCCCGTGGCCCCGCGGGCACCGCCGCCATGGGCGCCGTCTGCTCCGGCCCTGGCGGGGCCCTCGATGACGCCACCAGCATCACTGGCAGAGCCAGGGGGGGGTCCTCAACGCATTTAATGCGGGCATGTCCCTCTACAGGAGGAATAGTCAAAGATAGTTTAAAAAACAGTTTGGAGTTGTGACATTGGTGTCCTGCTAGATGGCGCCATCCAAGGGAAGCGCAAACTTACGACCAAACTACGTTCCGAGTACGAACCAAAACTACGTTTTAACTACGCCGTAAACTACGAAACAAGTATGCCCACAAGTTGCATTACACGGCGTCACGCAGACACACATACATCCGCGCGCGCTGTCTATCATCCCATTAGTATTTTGTGCGGGAGAGCGCTTGCGCAGGTCCCATAAAGCGTTGACGCTTCGCGTGCCCCCACCAGCCCATTCTGAAACGGTCGCGAGGTTTGTTGTTTGACGTGCCGTTGGGTACCTATTTCCCGTATGCGTCACTGGTCGTTCTTTGCCCTGGTATGTCATTGAGTCCTTGGAGCCATGAGCGCGTTGCTTGTTGCCTTATTCGCAACACACGTTTGGTCCCGTGGTTCGTGCTTCACTACTCCTTCCCCCCTCCACATCCTCCTCCTGTTCCTCCGCCCCCTCTTCCCCATCCTCCTCTGCCCCCTCCCCCTTATCCTCCCATTCTTGCTGCTGCTCCTCCTTCTCCTCCTCCCCCTCCTCCATCTGCTGCTGTTCCTCCTTCTCCTCCTCCTCCCCCTTCTTGTCCTCCTCTTCCTCCTCCTCCTCTTCCTCCCCCGCTTCCCCTTGTTCGCAGCCTGGCTTCAGTACCCGCCCCTTTGCAGGTCTCAAATAAGATTTCTGGTCCCCGCGTTCTGGGCGACCTCTGAGCCCCGCCCGTGCAATTCCCGTTCCAGGGGGACTCCGTTTTGTTAATTCCGTCCCGGCCGCGTGTCCGATGGGGGAAAACAGCGCTGTCCGAACAATTACTTGTTCCACCTCCCCTCGCAGGAGGGGGGAACGGGCCATTTTGTTAACGCTCCGTCCCGGCCGCGTGGCCGACGGGGGAAAACAGCGTTGCCCAAACAGTTGCTTGTTCAAACTCCCTCCCTGACTGGGGGGGCCCAAACGAACTTGCACTAAAGTGTCCGGCAGCAGTCTCCTGGTACCGTAACGCTAATCGTATAGTGTTATTTGCATTGCATGGGGGCTTCTTTGAGCAGTTGTCTACCCTCTTCTCCTCCTCTCCACATTCCCCTTTTCCACCTCCTCATCTCTTCATCCTCCTCCTTCTCCTCCTCATTCCTCTTCCTATCCTACTCATTTCCCCCCCTCGTCATCCTCATTCCTCTACTCCTCCTCATCCTCCTCCTCCTCGCCTCCTCCTCCTCCTCCATCTCCTCCTCCTCCTGCTCCTCCTCCTCCTCGCGCTCGTCATAATTCCTCCTCTTTCTCCTCATCATCCGCCTTGCTCCTTTCGCGCCCTCCTCCTGGGAACCTCCTACGCCTCCCCCTCCTGCTCCTAATGCCCCTCACCCTGGGACATGCGCATTTCCAGAACAGGCGCTCCCGCGCGAATCACTTTCCAGGCGCCTGGCTGCAAAACCCAGCAGGGCAACTACCCTCGCCGGTGCAAATGGATTACCAACTACTCTTGAAACTACTGCCGCGGAGCCGCCGGCCATGGCAACTACCTCCGCCGCCGTTGCCCCCCCGCGCGGCCATCCGCCGCACTTCTGTGGACGTAGTTTTTCCGAGGGATGTACGTCCACCGGGGGTAACGGCCACGCGGCGCGTGGACGTAGTTTTTCCGGGGAAAGTACGTCCACCGGCGCCCGCGCGTTTCACAGTGGCCCAAGGAAACGCCCGTGGACGTACTTTGCGCGTTGTTTTCTCCAAGGAAGTACGTCCACGGGGAAGTCTTGGGCCGCCATGGCAAACTACTCGGGGAACTACGCGGGCCTTGGCAGGCGCCAGTGCGGTTGCGAGGCGATGTGCGTTGGAATTTGGCGGAGTCACCCGCCCTAGTACTGCCTTGCTCCCTAGGCCGGTGAAGGCAACAGGGCCACGGCGCACAGAGCGCCCTTCAATCACAAGATCCAACCGCGTTTGGCCAGCGCAAATCGACGGGGCATCTTCTTTGGAGGGGCTGGTGGGGATGCGCGAACCATCGAGGCGCAACTACAGCAATGCTGCCGCATCAGCCCCAGGGGCGCAGAGAGGGGGGTCTCTAGGCGCTCGTGAGGAAAAACAGGCGAACGATTCACGTACCGCGTGAACGCGTCCAGGGCAACCGATCGGTTCATCATCATCGTCGCCATCGCGAGGGCGCTCCGCCCTAAACAGCCCCTCTGTTCCAGGGAACACCCAAAGCGCGCCTTGCGCTTTTCCGCGCAGGGCGTGGTAGAACAGGGGCGCCGACGTGCGTTCCGCCACGGGTGCGAAAACTTGTCGGATGTTGTCCAGGGTTGATGCAGTCGGAGATGTCGGTGCATATGTCGTCACGGCCGCGGCCCCTTCCGCCGCGCGTCGGGCTCCCTTAAGCATGACGCTGCTTGCAATCAATGGGCAATAGGAGCGAACGGGCGAGGGGGGCACGTTGGGCAGGGAAGGGGAAGGAGGAACGACGGGGGAGGGGAACAAATCCTCCTTCAGCCCCCCCCCCTCCCCCGCCTGCAAGTGCCCGTTATCCTCCCGCCACAGCACGCCACGATTTTTCGTGCAATTCTTCCTCTTTTCTCCAATGTGCCCCTGTCGGATCGAACCTAGTTGGGCGCGCTGACGAGGTCAGGCGAGTTTGGCCAGCGACTGCGCTAGACAGTGGTGCATGCCTGCATGCGCGTTGCCACTGTCACCGCGCGCTCGCGCATTGCAGCGCCCCCTTGCGCGCCATCGCGTCTATGGGGGATTCCCCGGTTGGTGTTCCCTGTCCGATCGCGCGGCGCGCCGTGAGTTTCAATGTTGGATTGGTTTGTTCAGATTTCGGAACGCGGCCCATGGCGGCAACGCGTGCCGCTGGGGTCTGCGTTTCATTGCGCTGCGCGCACGTGCTATCTACTGCGGATGTAGATCGCCTCGCGTTTGGCGATCAAGGGCGCCTTGCAAAAGCGACGACAAATATTGATGCATATTTGGCGAATGTCGCCCGCCCACCCTTGGGTGATCCTTGCGGTGGGCATCGCCCACGCCGTGGGCGTTCGCGACGCGACGGTATCATATCAAACACGTGCCAATGCGCAGATTCCGTTTCGCACACATATGCGTAGAACGCGTCGTTGGTCCTCCACCGCGCAATCGTTAGAGTTGTGACAGCACGAAAGCGCCGTGGGCTTTGTGCGCGCCCAGGTCAGATCTCGCGGCCCACTTCGTTGTTGCCGGCGTAGTTTTCGGGGTCCGCGGCGGGCGCATACGTGCGTCGCGTTTTTTTGTAGTTCGGACGTAGTTTTGGCCATTGCCATATTTTCCGGATCTGGCAGGACATCAGAGTCGCAAGTTTGGAGACGATGCTCCCACTATTTTTGACAATTATTGAATATTGTCAGAGTGAGGTGGCCGAACGGTCATTCATTGTCCCTGGGTGGTTGGCTAAAGTGAGAATACATGGTGAGGATTCTGCTTGTTGCGTTGTTGTTGTTGTTGTTGTTGGGGTTGGTGTTGTTGTTGTTGTTGTTGTTGTTGTTGCTGTTGTTGGGCATTATTTATTCTAAGGAATAATTATTGTTGGGGCCCCTGGTGCGCGCCCCCCTCGCCGCGCCTAGGCCGCAGCCACATTTTCATCATTTTCGTGAGGAAGTCTCAGGCAAAACGTGGGTGTCCGGATCCGGTTGTTTTGTTGTCCCCCGCTTTCCCTTGCAAAAAAACACTATAAAATGAAATTTCTTGTTCTAACATAACCAAACTTCAAGAATCCTTTGAAAAAATGACACGAAGTGCACACTCGCGCGCGCAAGATGAAATCCTTCCAAAACCTTAGTTTTCGTAGCGATTTTAACATAAAAACATGAAAAACCCAATGGTTTTTCAAAAAAAAAAAATCAAAAATTCATCTTGCGCGCTCTTGCGGATTTCTGAGGAAACCCAATATTTTTTCAACATTTCTGTCAAACGGGCTCTTGCGAGCAACTTTTTCACGTGCTTCGAACTTCTGCAACAACGGTTGCGCGCATGCCAGGGCCATCATCCCTGTCAAATAATACCATATTGGACACATTCGTTTTTTCTTCGCGCGCGCACGCCGTCGTCGTCGGCCGCGGGGCCCTGAATAGTAGCCACGGTCGTCCGCATGCCACGAAGTGAAGTGTCCGAACGTCATAGGGCGGGAAGCTGGGTGTGGGTGGTGGCGAAGAGTCGTTTGGAAATTTGGTAGAGCTTGAACCGGCCCCCCCACAAAGTGGGGGTATTGCCCGCCTCCTATGAAAACCCTGGCACTGGTGAGAACGGAGTGTCCCCAGTCTTAAATGATTGTTGAACATTATTAATTCTAAAGAATAATTATTGTTGGGCCCCCTGGTGCGCGCCCCCCCCGCCGCGCCTAGGCCGCAGCCACGTTTTCATCATTTTCGTGAGGAAGCCTCAGGTAATTCGAGTTGATCAAGATCCGGTTGTTTTGTTGTAATCCGCTTCCCCTTGCAAAAAACATTATAAAATGACATTTCTTGTTCAAATATAATCAAATTTCAAGAATCCCTTGCAAAAAATAAGGTAAAGTGGACATTCGCGCGCGCAAGACGAAATCCTTCCAAAAGCTTAGTGTTCGGAGCGATTTTAACATAAAAACATCAAAAAACCAATGGTTTTTCAACAAAAAAATGTCAAAATCTCATCCCGCGCGCTCTTGCGGATTCGTAGGAAACCCAACACTTTTTAAACATTTCTGTCAAACGGGCTTTTGCGAGCAACTTTTTCGAACTTCTGCGACAACGGTTGCGCACCTGCCAGGGCCATCATCCCTGTCAAATAATACCATGCGGGACACATTCGTTTTTTCTTCGCGCGCGCACGCCGAAATCTCCAAAAACCATTGGGTTCTGTGGGTGTGTACCCCACGCCAGTGTAGTAGCCACGGTCGTCCGCACGCCACGAAGTGAAGTGTCCCAACGTCATAGGGCGGGAAGCTGGGTTTGGGTGGTCGCGAAGAGTCGTTTGGATATTTGGTAGAGCTTGTAATGCCCCCCCACGAAGTGGGGGTATTGTCTGGTGTCGTATGAAAACCCTGGCACTGGGGAGAACACCACGCGTTCGGGTAAAATGATTGTTGTTGTTGTTGTTGTTGTTGTTGTTAATGTTGATGTTGTTGGTGGTGTTGTTGTTGTTGGTGTTGGTGTTGGTGTTGGTGTTGGTGTTGGTGTTGTTGTTGTTGGTGTTGGTGTTGGTGTTGTTGTTGTTGTTGTTGTTGCTGTTGTCGTCGTCGTCGTTGTTGTTGTTGTTGTTGATGTGATTTGTTGTCATCGTCCCGCCCGCCACTCACTCGCGTCCCACCCCGCGACCCACCCGCGACCCACCCCGCGACCCACCCGCGACCCACCGCGATCCACCCCGCGACCCACCAGCGACCCACCCGCGACCCACCCGCGACCTGGCCCGCGACCCACCCGCGAGCCACCGTCGACCCACTTGCGACCCAACCCGTGACTCACCCATATTGTTTTAACAAAAATTCGGCGCCTGCGGCGGGCCCATTGTATAGCTTGAAAAATTCAGCGACTGCGGCGGGTTTCAGAGCCTCGCAGATTACTCACTCTCATCCGCAACTGCGGGGTGCTACTGTTTTGACTATTTCTTATATTTTTTCCAGAATCCGCCTGTAGGAAGACATGCCCGGCCAAACCGCGCATTGTAAGGAGGCGCGCCTTTTCTAGTGGTACCCCTGTGTCCTTGCCTCTGCGGCTCGTCCTTTGCCGTTGCCACTGGCTAGCCTCGCCCGCCGCCCAACAAAAATCCAAACTTCGGCCTCCGATGGTCTTGCGTGCTTCCCACCCGTCCATCTTGTACGTTTTCGCTGTGCCTCGCCATGGACCTTGAGATCCTGGCGTGGCATTTCTTTCACGGCGGGCGGGTTTGCTTTGTCTAAGGCCCCAGTGGCCCTCACAGATCTGTCGGGCTCGAAGAGTGCAGCAGAAATTGGGGTCCTGTGTCCTGGTTTAGTTTTTTGTGTGTACGACGCAGGTTTCGGTGGCGAGCGAGGGGGGTGGTTGAGAAGGAGAAGGCCTTCTCAGAAGGTGGCGGGACTTGTCAGAAGTTCTCGCGCCCTCAAAGAGTTGTTCTGCTTCCCTGTGGAAGACTTTGAACATCTTCTCAGAAGGCTGGGGGACTTCCGAGCCTTCGGATACGTCCCGCCCCTTCTTCCCCCCGGGCTCGCCGCCGAGAAGAGTTTGTCGTGAGGGAAGGCCCTGGGATCCAGGACGGCACGAGGAAATCAAAGAGCTCTCGAGCTATGATGGCGCAGTTCTTTCTTTCCGCCTGGCCCTGTGACGTGTCCAGTGACATTAGACTCGAGCATCGGTGGCCACGGTTCGCTCAACAAACCCACGGAGCAGCTGCGTGCATGCGTTCACACTTGCAGCTGCTGATGCAGAGTCGTGTGTGCAATCGCGCGTTGCAGCGGCAACGCCGCTCACGGCCCGTCCCTTGCATGCCAGACAGACAACCCAATCGTTTTCACAGCGCTGTGCACGCACACCCACTGAAGTTGAAGTCGGGCCTGTCCCTCTCCGGGAGGAACAGTCAAGAATAGTAATCAAATAGTTTGGGGGCGATTGTTTTGACTCGGTTTGATTGTTTTTGCATCGTCTTTGGCTATCTGTCATTTTTCGTCCACAATCCGCCTGTAGGGGGACATGCCCGACCTAAACGGAGGTCCGCGCGAACCCCTCGGGCCAACGCCCAGCTCCCCTCCCGGCATCCCCCTGCGCTCCATCGCGCTGCCCTTGTGAGGAGGCTGGCCCAGCGCCAGACCGCAGAAGCCGCCACGCAGAGAATCTGTGGGGGACATCCTTCGTCCCGATGCCTGCTGCACTCCTCGGCGTCCCGGGTGGATGGGTCTGTTTTCCGACACCAGCACCACCATTTTAAAGTATGGGGGGGAAAGTTGGGGGAGGATTAGGAGGAGGCCGACGAGGAGGAGGACGAAGAGGAGGAAGAGGAGGAGGAGGAGGACGAGGACGAGGACGAGAACGAGGAGGAGGAGGAGAAGGAGGAGGAGGGCGCCCTCCCCCTCCTACTTGTGGTGGTGGCGGTAGGAAGCAAGCCCACCATTCGTCCCGTCGGCGTCCTGGGTGGCCCGGGGGTCTGGAAATTGGCCCGGAGTTCGCCTCGACGTGGCCCCGGACAGCTTCGGGGCCTCGGCATGGCCCCGGCATGGCCTCGGAGTGGCCTCGGAGTGGCCTCGTATACAGTAGAAACCCATGCCAAGAGGCCTGCTTGCCTCGAGGGTGCCCTTGGTTTCTTGGGCTTCGATGGCTTTGCTGTGGGAAGCGTGACGTTCCCAGACCAGAAGTGAACGGACGGCCTGGGGTCTGCAGGGTTGGGTTTCTTGCAGGAGGTTTCTTGTGGTCGGGCTCCTATTGTAGCCCCGGCAGGGCCTCGAGTGGCCTCGGATAGGGCGCGGAGAGCCCGGTCGGCGGGGCAGAGAATCGCCCCACGCCCAACAGATTCAACATCGAGTTCGCGCCCACCCCCCCGAGCGTAATTGTGCTTATCAGTTGTCTGCGGGGACGCCAGCCCTCCCCTTGGCATCGCCTGGACGTGTGCTTTTTGGCCTCGGAGTGACAGAGAAGCAAGCCCCCACCCCCGCAGCAGCTTCAACACAGAACTCGTCAGGAGGGAGAAAGAAACACACACAGACACAAGGAATCGTCGATCCCAAGGAACATGTAGGGAAAGATGGGATGTGTGTGTGGTGGGGAAACACGAAGACCCAGGAAATACAGGATCATATTTGGATTTTGATGCTCCAACCTACTGAGCTACTGTAGCCTGGATTGCCAAACAGATTTTCGAGCACCAGACAAAAAGTACCGAAATTCTAGGGTTTTCCCGTACCGGGCACTGGGAGACATTCGTCCGACACTGTTTCGCACTCTTTCGACACTCTCCCGGGTGCTCGAAATTATTTCTGGGATGTGGTCCTTAAGTGCGATTGGAGCAACATAATCTTGGGAATCCCAGGATGTGTGTCTTTTTATTTGCGTGTCCCTGGGCCCCTTCAACTCGCGACGACCCCCCGAAGTGTAATTGTGCCCAGGGAGAGCTGCGGGGTCGCCAGCTCTCCTTTCGCATCGCCAGGACGTGTGTTGTTTTCTGTTTGCACGGCGAGGACCACCGAGGAGTATCTCTGATCGTCGAGACACAACACAACACGCACGACATTTGAAAGCATGCACGGGAATTGACGTCCGAGCGACGGATCAAGGATTGCGGATCGAGGATCGAGGAATGCACGTCCGAGCATGCTCCCGAGGACCGAAGATCGAGGAGGCTTTTGGGGACGTCGCCGGGGGGGGAGCTGGGCCAGGGGCGCCCCCCCTCCTCGAGGAGGGGGCGCCCCCCCCTGCGGTGGGACGACCGACCCGTCCTGGCGCTGCCCCGACGTCGTCCTGACCGTGGTGTGGCCATCGCAGGCAACCGGCAGCTGTGCACCCGCCACCAGTCGGAGCACGCGTATTGCAGGGCCCGGTTCGATTCTTCCGATGCGATCGGGTTCGGTTTCGATGGTTTCCGACTCCGATGCGATTCGGCTTCGCAGTCCGATTCGGCTCCGGTTTATCAATTTTGGCCTACTAGCCTGCCGATTTCTGCCGGTCCGATGTTTCCTGATTCGGCTGCCGATTTTCCCCCGATCTGGTTAAATTCGATCGCCGATCCGAGTTGTCGATTGGATTCTGGGTTGGTATTGGGGAACGTAAGACTCGAGTACGCCAGAACTCGGGCTTGCCAGCGCTTTTTGACGAGCGCGTCCTCGGTTTTGACGGTCCAGTTTCCATGGGATGTTTGCAGCGGAAGGTAGCGTCAAATTTCCGATTGGGTCTTGTCATTTTCATGATGGCCCCGTCGGGCCAACCCGAGTCCCCCGAACCCGAGTCTTCAGTCTTCCCGAGCGTAATGTCGGGGGGTGGCCAAAATCTGGTGGACCGGAAAGGGGTTCAGCGACAAGGGGGTGGTGCAATAGTTTTGGTGCAGTAGATGTGTGGGGTTGGACTGGGCTTGGGGCGCGCAACACATTCGTTGAACGTTGAAGGATGAGCGGTCCGCGCGGTGTCCGAAACCGACGCCGAGGTCGCCACGACACGAACCTTCCCCGTGCCAGTCCAGGGCCCTGCATAGGCCTGGGCCACAGCTGGTGGCGGTGTATCGCTGCTGGTTTCCGACGTCGGGCGAGCCCATCCTGGAGCGCGCGTCTCTGCGGCTTGACGACACGGTCCTGCGCCTGCGCCTGATGGTGCAGCAGGCGGCCTCGGGGCGCATCGGCGCGCTCATCTCGCCGGGGCACGAGAGGCCCTGGGGAAGCCAAGAGGTACACCGACGTCCCGGACGTCTCCCGGGGTGGATTCTGACTGGCATTTCTTGGGAGCCCCCAAACCGGGTGGTGAGACATCAGGTGGTGATTTGGAATCCCCACAAACGTCACCGCCGGGTTTTGGAACACGGGGTCACCGTCGGGGCGTGTGACTCCTGGACCCACAAGCGTTCGGGACATTTCCGAAAAACCACACGAGTCCCCAAACAGGGTGATGACCAACTCGCCCGAAGTTCACCGCCGGGTGTTGTCACCACCACGTTTGACTAAATTTCGAGGAGAATCCAGCCGTGGCGGCGGCCTATTCAGGACGAGCAGTGGTACCAGTGCATTCTCCTCCGGACCTCTCCCAGGGTGTGCGGTCTGGCCCCGAAAGAATTCGAGGAGGATCCAGCCGTGGCGGCGGGTTCCTAGGAGTCCGATGTCGTGATTTTGCCAATGCGGGGTCCCCAGAAGTCTCGACCCCTTCCCTGGGACTGGCTTTGCATCCTGACCCCGAGGCCCTGCGAGGACCCCTGGAGACCTAAAGTTGCGACAAGCCTCCGTCGTGATTTTTTCAGTACGTTGGATCTCTAGGTTCTTCAGGGCGAGCGTTGGTACTTCGGAAACTGGAACATATACATCACCAGTGGCGTGTTTTTTTTTCAATCCCAAGACTTTTTTAGGGTCGGGGACGACGTCGGGGTGGTGTGGTGTATACTTTTTCCCTCCGTCTTCAAAGGGAAATGACAAAACATGTATACTCCAGCACCCGGTTTCCGCTAGGATCCTCGTTCCTGTGCGAATTTCCGCGCAGGGTCGGGAAAAGCGTCGGTGTTTTGAGTTCGTTTCCCTAGTGCCGGTGCCTTCTCCTCGAGGACCTTTCTCGGGGTTTGCGTTCAATTCGAGGAGCGGGTCCAGAAGTGGCGGCGGGCTCTCTGGCACGAGTGGCGGAGGCGGTAGAGTCGAGGTTCAGTGGTTTTAAGTCTAAGTCGGGCCTGTCCCTCTACAGGGGGAAAATTGAAAAATAGTCAAAAAATAGTCTGGGGACTATTGTTTATCATTTTTTCACCATTTTGGAGAATTTTGGGGGTATCTTTTATTTTTCATCGAAACCTCCCTGTAGGGGGACACGCCCGACTTAATTGTAAGTCGGGCACGCATCTCTACATCACCGAAAGCGTTCCACTGCTCGCAAAGCGCCCGCTCGCAGACGTCCAAAAAGTACATGTCTGCTTCGATGGATCTGATCGTAGATCCCCCGCGGCGGATCCAGGCCATTTGCGTTCAGTTACTCTGCGAGTAGTGGAAGTCGCTCGTCAACTACAGGAGGAATATTCCAAAAGAGTAAAAACATGGTCTTGGACGAACCATGTTTTTGGTTCGTCCAAAATCCCCCTGTAGGAGGATATGCCCGACCTAACAGTAGTTCCGGTTGGCCTGAAATGGGGTCCAGCGTCGTCGTCGTCGTCGTCGTCTTCGTCCTGTTCCACCTCCTATGTATCCTCGTTCTCCTGGATCCCCCCTGACCCCAGGGCGTCGTGAGGGAGCAACGGTGGTCGGTCTTCCAGCGCGCGCTTCCCTAGCTACAAGGGGGTGGTGCAATAGATCTGGTGCAATAGATGTATGGGTTGCAACAGATCTGGGGCAGTGCATTCCGTGGCGCAAGTGTATTGGTGGATGTTCGTGTGCAATGCATTAGTTGCAGTACATTGCAATGCAGTTCTTCGGCGCAGTACATCTGCAATAGAACTGCCCGAAATCTATCATACCCCCTTTCAGCTGGACCCCTTTTTGGATCACCCAAATTATTAGGTCTGCCCTGACAAACTTTTTTTGGTTCACCTAAATTATTTACTTCAGTCAAATTACTACATGTCCTGTGTTTTGCGACATCTGCCTTCTACCATTCCTACGGCAATGTGGCCGTCGGAAGGGTCTAGCATTAGAAAGTTTAGGGTTCACTAGGGGCCGGTTCCCCCCAAAACGACAGAACAGTTCGCGAAATCATCCGAAAGCCGAGGCTTTTCGGAGGGTTCCCAAATGGTTTCGTGAGCGTTGCAGTCGTGTTGGGGGGATGCCAGTCCCTGGTGACCCGCAGGCTTTCGAAGTCTCGTGTCCTCTCACGTGTCTCCTCCAATCAAGCGAGGTCGATCATCGGCTTCTCGTTGAACGCACCACTCAGCTTTCGCCGAAGACTGCCGGAAAGCGCCGAAAGCCGCCGAAGACCGTCAGGAGACCGCCAAAACAACCGCCGAAGACCACCCGAAGACCGCCCGAAGACCGCCGAAGACGGCGCAGGAGCGATGCGTAACAAGGGGTCCATGGTTGAACACCGGTGCACGCGGGCCTACGTGAAGCTGCCCGGAGCGAAAAAGTCAGGTTTTGACTCGGGCACGTCCCCTTCTGCAGACGGATTTTTAAATAAAGTTATTCAATAGTATTCTGAGGACGAGTTCTGATGTTTTATTTCTATTCTTGACTATTTCTGATTATTTCTCACTTCTCTTCCACAATCCGCCTGTAGGCGGACATGCCCGACCTAAGGTAAGGTTATGGGCTGGCACCTCCTCCCTTCCTACCCAATCGGATAGCACGGGCCGTCGCCGAAAAAAACACAAACTCACCGACCGCGCTCCACTGCTCGCAGGGAGCCTACTCCGCACATGGCCGAAACTAAAACAGGGTTCGCCTCGATGTGGTATCATCGTGCATCCCCCGCGGCCGGCGGCTCGAGGCCCTCTGCGGGTATAGTTGCTCTGCGAGCAGCAGCGCGCGCTTGCCGAGCAAGGACGCTGCCCCCCCCCCCCCCCGCTTTGCACCGTTTCCTCCGATGGTGGCCCCGGCCAGGGTGCGACCGCCCTGGCGCCTCGGGGCCCCTCCCCCCCTCCCGGGGCGTGTCTTTGGCCAGAGGAGAGCTCTCGAGGAGGCACCTCCGGCCGTGGCGGGCGAGGGCTGCCCCACGATGGGGGCGAAGACGAGGCAGGGGTCAGGAGGAGGGTCTCCTCCTCCTCCTCCCCCCTCCTCCCTCCTCCTCCTCTTCCTCCTCCTCCCTCCTCCTCCTCCTCCTCCTCCTCCCTCCCTCCCCCTCCTCCCTCCCTCCCTCCCTCCCTCCCTCCCTCCCTCCCTCCCTCCCTCCCTCCCCCCCCCCCCCCCCTCCTCCTCCTCCTCCTCCTCCTCCCCTCCTCCTCCTCTCCTCCTCCACCTCCTCCTCCTCCTCCTCCTCCTCCTCCTCCTCCTCTTCCTTCTCTTCCGCGTCCTCCTCCTCCTCCTCTTCCTCCTCCTCTTCCGCATCCTCCTCCTCCCCCTCCTCGTCCTCCTCCTCTCCCGCTTCTGCCTCCTCCCTCCTTCCTCCTCGTCCTCTTTCTCGTCCTCTTCCGCATCCTCCCTCTCCTCCTCTCCGCGTCCTCCTCCTTCCCTTCCTCCTCCTCTTCCGCGTCCTTCTCTCCTCCTCGTCCTCCTCCTCTTCCGCTTCTGCCTCCTCCCTCCCTCCTCATCCTCCTTCTCCTCCTCTTCCGCATCCTCCTCCTCCTCCTCCTCCTCCCCTTCCGTTTCCTCCTCCTCATCCTCTTGATCCTCATCCTCCTCCAGTCCATTTCAGCCTAGATCACCAGAAAGTCGAGCACCAAGAAAGTATGGACACTGGGCGGTTTCCACCCGTCCGGCCCTGGGGGGCGATGCTCGTTCGGCACCTCGCCGGCGTGTCGGGCAGACTTTGTTTCGATACTTTTCTCGGAATCATTCTTGAATATCAGGCGGGGCTAGGATGAGGATCGATCCGTTCCTGAGCGTTCTTGAACGCTCTGCGGGACGCTCTCAGAAGGCCGCGACGACCGACGCCGCCGCATCTCATCCGACTTACCCTCAACCGAGTTGTTCCTCGTCCTGGCTTCGTCCTGAAAGTCCTCCTCCGAGAAGCGGTGTCGGTCGGAGTGATCGCCGGCATCACCGGCAGAGCCAGGGGGGGTCCTCAACGCATTTAATCCGGGCGTGCCCCTCCAGAAGAGGGATAGTCAAAGATAGTTTAAACAAAACAGTTTGGAGACGATGTTCCCATTATTTTGACAATTATTGAATATTGTCAGAGTGAGGTGGCCGAACGGTCATTCACTGTCCCTGGGTGCGTGGCAAAGGTGCGGATCCGTGGTGAGGATTATGTTTGTTGCGTTGTAATTGTTGTTGCTGTTGCTGTTGCTGTTGCTGTTGTTGTTGTCGTCGTTATTGCCGTTGAATGTTGTTTAATAAGCAATCTTTTGTTGGACCCCTGCAAGGCGCCCTGAGGCGCCGGCTACATTTTCATTGAAATTGAGGCTCACGCTCGAGCGGTTTGGGGGACCGCCCAAACTGGCCCCCCAACAACAACAACGCTCCCGCTCGAGGCTTCCTCCTTTTTTACTCAGGGCTGGTGTTCTTGCTCGCCGCCGAAAGCAGCCGTCCTAACAAAACCAGCGCCCGCTTGAGACTTCCTCCGTTTTACGCTGGACTGGCGCGCTAGTCTTTCTCTCATCGGCGCCGCCCCCAGCAACAACAACGTTCCCGCTCGAGAAGTCCCCCTTTTTTACTGAAGGCGGTGCTCCTCCTCGCCGCCGAAAAGCGCCGCCCCGACAAAACCAGCGCTCCCGCCCGAGACTTCCTTCCGTTTTACACTGGGCTGGCGTCCCACTCTCTTTTTAATAGGCGCCGCTCCCAGCAAGAGCAACGCTCCCGCTCGAGGCTCCTTCCCTTTTTCCTGAAGACGGTGCTATTCCTCGCCGCCGACAACCCCCGTCCCGACAAAAACACGGCTCCCGCTCGATGTTTCTTCCCTTCTTATTCAAGGCGGTGTTCCTCCTCGCCGCCGAAACCCGCCGCCCCGACAAAACCAGCGCTCCCGCCCGAAACGTCCTTCCCATTTACGCTGGACTGGCGCCCTACTTTCTTTCGAATTGGCGCCGCTCCAAGCAAGAACAACGCTCCGCTCGAGATTGCCTCTCTTCTTCCTCGGGGCGGTGCTGTTCCTCGCCGCCGACAGCCCCCGTCCCGACAAAACAACGGACGGCACCCGCTCGATGCTTCCTCCTTTCTTGCGCAAGGCGGTGTTTCTCCTTGCCGCAGGAAGCCGCCGTCTCAACAAAACCAGCGTTCCCGCTCGAGACTTCGTTTTGTTTTCCGCTGGACCAGCGCCCTGCTCTCTTCAGCATTGGCGCCGCTCCCAGCAACAACAGCAGCCCTGCTCGAGACTTCCTGCCTTTTTATTCAGGGCCAGATCCTTGCCTCATCGTCGACAAACCCCATCCCCACAAAGGCAATCCTGTCGTTCGATACTTCCTTGTGCTTTACCCGTCGCTGGGGTTCCACTGGCGGTCTCGCATCTGCGCAGCAAGGCGCGGGCATGTGTTTTCGAGGCGGGATATGTTGAAATTCCTCGGAGGAGGTGTTTGCAAGACCTCATTGGGCGGGAGATTTGGGAATGGGAATAACGGACCCCGCTATAGAACAAGAGTCCCCCATGATGTAGATGGTTATCATGATGGTCGCATGCTTCGTGTGGAAACATCGCGTGTAAGGGTACAATGATTGTTGTAGTTGTTTGTTGTCGTCGTCCCCCCCGCGACCCGGCCCGCGACCCACCCACAACCCACCCCGCGACCCAGTCTCGACCCACCCCGCGACCCGCCCGCGACCCACCCGCGACCCACCCGCGACCCACCCGCGACCCACCCGCGACCTGGCCCGCGACCCACCCGCGACCCACCCGCGACCTGGCCCGCGACCCACCGTCGACCCACCTGCGACCCACCTGCGATCCAACCCGCGACCCACCTACATTGTTTGAGCAAAAAATCGGCGCCTGCGGCGGGCTCGTTGTATAGCTTACTTCTCCAAAGCCTCGCAAACTGCAGACGTTTCCGCCGCCCCTTTACTCTTCTCCGCTACGTATTTCGGCGGGGGGTGCCAGGCGGGGTCGGTGTGCGGGAGGCCTGTCGGGCCCGCCGTCGTTGATCCCCAGGGTTCCCCAGACTGTGTAGCCCAGACCCCCTCGGGTCATGTAAAGAGCATGACGGGAGGTGTCCCGCTATTTCAGGCCCATGGGGGCCCTTACACGCCGCTTGTTGAACGTAGGTCCTTGTGGCTTCCCAGGTCCCAGTCTACCTCAAGCGCCTCCCTGTTTCAAGAATCGGTGTGTGCCCCCCCCGGGGCCGCTGGACCAAGAAACGAAGGCGGCGCGCGGGGCGATCCGCTGGGGGACGCCCCGCCCCGGCGCCGGGAGGTGCCGGGAGGCTGCTTTACCTGATTCTTCACCTTGCCCTGAAGAGTTCGAACGCAGGCAGCTCGAACACACAATCGTAAGTTCCGTAGACGCGCCAACGGTGTGTCAGGTAATGGTGATGTAGGAAATCCAATTGCAGGAAGGCGTGGTCCGTGGCCAAACCAATTATTGGAACGCGTGGTTCGTGTTTTCCTACAACTTGCTGTGCCGTTCTCGCTCGATGCATTCCCACATTTGAAATCTAGGAAGCGGTGTTTCGTTATATCTTACAGGTTGTTCTGCGTGAGCTCGGTGTCACAAACATCATATTCCCAACATCGCCGTTATATAACCAACATTGCCGTCAGCGCGGCCTTGGAGGTTGTTGGGAGTCCGAACGCGTAGGTTTTCGGACGTCTTCGTCGGCTCTTGGCGGCTTTCCAGCCTCCGGGTGCCCTCCAGCAGCTGCGCCTCGCCGAGGGGGGCAGCCTGGGCGGCCCGCATCGCACCAGAGGGTCACTGGAGACCTGAGCTATGAACCGAAAAACCCGGCGACGAGAATTGTTTCCAAGTCGGGCATGCCCCTGTACAGGATGAGGAGGAGGATAAGTCAAACATAGTAACAAAAATAGTCTGGCGACGATGCTTCTATTGTATTATGGTCTTCTTGATGATGTTCAGACCATTTTAGAGACTTCCTTCCAGAGTCCGCCTGTGGGAGGACACGCCCGACCTGAGCCTGCCCTCTGCCAATTTTCCTACCCTTATGATGCTCCTACTTAATTCAGCCTGGATCACCAGGAAGAATTTCGAGCACCAGAAATAAACCGACCGAAACTCGAGGGTTCACGCGTCGGGCCCTGAGAGGCAGTCGTTCGACACTGATTCGACACTGTTCCGTCACTTTTTCCACCTTTTCCCGGGTGCCCGAAGCTACTTCTGGAATGCGGTCCGCAAGTACGCTGGGAGCAACATAGTCCCACCCTTTCGCCCCCCCGCGACCTCCCTGGGCCCCGGGACCGTCCAAGCACGACCCGCGAGGCTCCGCTGGGACGCCCGCCTCGGCGCCGCGGGCCTCTCGGACCGCGACGTCGTGACCGCCCTCCGGGAGCCGCCCGCGCGCCTCCACGCCACGCACTGGGCCTTCGCCGCGCTGCTCGGCGACGGCCGCGTCGCAACGTGGGGGGACGCAGGCGCTCGACGAAGGGAAACGCTGCACACGCCTCCTCCTCCTCCTCCTCCTCCGCCTCCTCCTCCTCCTCCTCCCCCTCCTCCTCCCACTTCCCCTCCTCCTCCTCCTCCTCCTCCTCCTCCTCCTCCTCCCTCCTCCTCCTCCTCCTCCTCCTCCTCTCCTCCTCCTCCTCCCCCTCCCCCTCCTCCCTCCCCCCTCCTCCTCCTCCTCCTCCTCCTCCTCCTCCTCCTCCTCCTCCTCCTCCTCCTCCTCCTCCTCCTCCTCCTCCTGGCGAGTCGTAGGGGAGCGAATAAAGACATGAACAAAAAACAACCTGGAGGTCCGCGCGGATCTCTCGGATCCGCGCTGGACCCTCCAGAGGCATTCCGCACCAGCGAGAAGCGATCCTGGGCAACAGAAGGGCGAATTTGGCCAGAATTGCGAGAGCGGGGAGCGGGGCAGACGTGGCGGCCGAAGAGGAGGGGAGGGGGCGCACACACGTGCATCGGAGGAGGAACGGGTGCCCACACCGCTCTCTTCCCGTCGTTCTCCCATTTCGGGGGCCTCCAGGGGTGCCCTCGGCGCCACCGCTGGATTCGCCTCGAGATCCTTGCTTCCTTCCTCTTCGGCCCGTTCTTGCCCCGCTCGAAATGTGTCGACATGGCCTTTCCGAGGGCGTTCGCAGCCTTGTCGTGCATCCTTGCCATCTGCGCGCTGCCTGCGTGCCTTTGGAGCTCCGGCCGCGGATTCCCCGGAGCGGCTCCTGGGACCGCTGGGATCCCAGCGCCTCGCGCGCCAGGGAGGTGGGCTCAGCGCCAGTCCAAGAGCGCCGCGCGGATCTCGAGCAGTGTACACGCAGGTCGTTGAAAGTAGTCCGAGTTTCTTAATAAGCGTCGGGGGGGCGTCACCCCCGCCGACAGCCCCGCATCGACCCCCGTTGCGGGCAGCCACTGCGCGCCGGAGGCGCTCCGGACTCCATTGCGGCGCGACGACGAGGCGAGGTTGACCCCCGTCGGAGGGGTAGCCCCCTGCGCTTATGAAGAAACCCAGGGTAGGTACTCTTCGATGCCCAAGTCCCTATCTACTTTAGGCGCTTTCCTGCTTCAAGACTCGAGCGGTTAGGGGGCCAGCGGAAGCCCAATCTTCTCTCACCGCCTTCCTACCTCATGTTTCTGCACACTTCTTCCGACCGACGGGTATGTTTACGCAGCTGATTATCCGAAGGCTACGGCGGAGACAGCTCGGCGGTGCGACACCAGCTCTCGGGAGGGGTGCGGAGCATCCACGCCACGGCCTCGGCCTTCGCCGCGGTGAAGGACCTGGCAGCGCTCGGACGTGTGCCTGTGTCTTATCGGCGAGGACCATCGAGGAGCAGCTCGGCTCATCGAGCCAATGTCACACGCACGAAACCGAACAGTGCAAGGGGAAGGTTCGGATGCAACTCCTGGGAGGTCAAATTCTGATTTTGCCCTGGTCCGAAATCCGGCTTACCCCCGCTCAATCCCGCTTAATCCGGTTTAATCCGTTTAATCCCGCTTAATCCGGCTTAATCCGAGGCCCACTCAAGCGTAACAGCCCCCCCATGGGGCTCAATTCTCTTAAATCCTTCCGACGAGAATACCTCCCAATAGTTGCATCCTAGACGTCTGAGCGATGGCGAGAGGACGACGGGACCACCGTCACCTGGGGCTGCCCAGGCGACGGCGGGGACAGCAGCGCGGTGCAGGAACAGCTGAAGGCTGGAGCCGGCTGGGGGGCACAGCGCCACTTCCTTCGGTGGCAGTGCATCCGCCCTGGAAGCAGGTGCCCAGACCCCGTCGCGTTGCGAACAGATCACGACGGTTATGATGACTTGACCACCAGAAAGAATTTCGAGCGCCCAAAAAGTATTGAACCTCAAAGAAAATCACGTGTCGGGCCCTGGGAGATACTCGCTCGACGCTGTTTCGACCCTGTTTCGACATACTATTTTGACACTTTTTTCGGGTGCTCGAAATTATTTCTGGGATGTGGTCCTTAAGCAGGGTTGGAACAACATAACACGACGGGAGGTTTGTCGCTATTTTCGGCGCCCGGGGACCCTTGCTGGGCCCCGGGGCAGTCAAAACCAACTCAGGACGAACAAAAACGGTCCCGGGGAAGGGGTCGAGACCTCTGGTGGTCGACGTTGTGAAGACATCACGACGTCGGGCGTCTGGGAAGTAAATGCACAGACGCCCTCCAATGGATCGTTCCTGGGCCTTAGGGCAGGGTGGCGGTGGCAAGAGCACCACTGAGAGCCAGCAACCTCTATACACCGCCGCCCTCCCCGAAAGCGCATACCATCGATATTCACCATTTCGAGTGCACTCGCTTTGGCGTCGACGGGCGTCGATTCAGCGCCGATTTGCGTCCACTAGCGTCGATTCAGCGTCGACGAGCGCCGCTGCCGCAAGAGGCAGCAAGATGACACGGGAGGCTCCCAGGATGGGCCATGGACGGTCCCAGCCAGCAGAAGTGGGAGAGAATCCGGTATCGCTCGGACGTGTCCAGTTTATCTCGGGGAGGACCATGGAGGAGCATCCTGGATCATCACGACACGCACGGCTCGGAAGACTGCACACATATGTGGACGCCCGAGCGATGGCAAGATGGCAGGCCCCCCGCGTCGCCACGGCTGGAGGTCCAGCAAAGCAACGTGTCAGGACGTCGACCCCGGAGTCGGTCTGGGGACCGACTCGGAGCGGATTTGCCCCCACCCCTCCCTCTGGACGGGCTTCCTCCCCTGGGATCCTGGCGTCGCATATTTTTTTCACAGCGGGCGTCTTCGCCCAGTTTCGGGCCCCAGGGCCCTCACAGATCGATCGGGCTCGACGAATCGTTTAGAAACACATCTGGGGTCCGGGGCTTCGGTCGTGATTTTGTTGGCGATGGCGCAGTTATTGTCCGCAGCGTCGGATCTCAGGGTCGGGGCCCAAAACTGGCGCAGACCCCCTAGCCGCTTCAATGGCTACTGAAGGGCCACGTGGTCCAGGTGCTCCGTGCGATCAAAATGGGTACGGAAAGAATGGATGCGAAAACCGACTCCAGCTCCTGCTCGTTCTGAACAGGACTCGATGTCATTCCCACCCCTCCCCCCCTTCACTCCTCTCCTCCTCCTCCTCTTCCTCCTCCTCCCCCTCCTCCTTCTCCTCCTTATCCTTCTCCTCCTCGGTCGGTGTCGCTGCGGAGTCCATTTGAGGCAGAAGGGCGCCTGCCCAACGGCGGCCGCTGTCGATTTGTCACAACATCTGCTGTGGGTCATCGTTCCCAGATCTTCCGTACATTTTTCGGGCGTGCAGAGGTGTGCTCGACCCATTGGGCGTTCGCGGCCTTGAAGGAGTCCGGCCAGGTGGTGACGTGGGGCGACGCGCTCAGCGCGGGCGACAGCCGCGGCGTCTCCGAGCAGATCGCGAGCGGCGTGTCCACTATCTACTCCAACCACGAGGCCTTCGCCGCCGTCAAGAGCGACGGCCAGGTGGTCACCTGGGGCAAGGCTCAGGGGAGTTCCGTTAGCGGCTTGAACCGAAACCAGAAAAAACTCCATATAACAAATCTTTTAGGCTCCGCGCGGATTTCTTGAATCCGAGCTGGGCCCCCCTGGCGGCGCCTCCGGCGCCGCCCCTGGCGCGCTCCGCGCTCCAGGGCGTGGGGTCCCAGCGCAGGTCCAAGAAATCTGCGCGGAGCGCCAACAGTTTATGTTTATGTTTTTGTTCCTTCCTCTATTGATGTTGATGGAGGACTTCAAGCGTTCTCGTCGGTTCGCGGCGGCGCTCCAGCCTCGGGGGGCCCCCTTCAGCAGACGCGCCGCGCCGAGGGGGGCGGTCCCGGGGCAAAACTAAGGTGTTCCCACGACTAGGGAAACTGAAACACGACAAGAGAAAACTGAAACGCGACAAGGTACAGCTTATTCACGACAAGCAATCGCCACCCACTTTCGCCTCGCCACCCACTTTCGCCACCCACTTTCGCCACCCACTTTCGCCACCCACTTTCGCCACCCACTTTCGCCGCCCACTTTCGCGAACGAAAGTGGGTGGCGAGCAAAAGTGGGTGGCGAATGAAAGCGGGTGGCGAACGAAAATGGGTGGCGAACGAAAGTGGGTGGCGAACGAAAGTGGGTGGCGAACGAAAATGGGCGGCGAACGAAAGCGGGTGGCGGACGAAAGTGGGTGGCGAACGAAAGTGGGCGGCGAACGAAAATGGGTGGCGAACGAAAGTGGGTGGCGAACGAAAGTGGGTGGCGAACGGAAGTGGGCGGGTGGCGAAAGTGGGTGGCGGACGAAAGTGGGTGGCGAACGGAAGTGGGCGGGTGGCGAAAGTGGGTGGCGAAAGTGGGTGGCGAACGGAAGTGGGCGGGTGGCGAAAGTGGGTGGCGAAAGTGGGTGGCGAACGTGGGTTTGCTTGTCGTGAATATGTCTCTTCCTTGTCGTGAAGCTGCTTGCCGCGAAACCATCCCGGCCATTCCCGGGGCTGCCGCGCGACCGCCGGGGAGAGCCGAGCGGTATGGCTCGAGTTGAATCGGGCCTGTCCCTCTACTGGAGGAATGTTCAAACATAGGCAAACAAATAGGGGTGACTGTCAAACAATATAGTCAAACATATACAGGAGGAATGTTCAAGGATAGTTAAACCATAATCTGGGGACGATGTTCTGCATGTTTTTTTGGCTATGTTTGAACATCGTTTGATTACTTTTTGAATTTGTCCTCCAAAATCCGCCTGTAGGGGGGCAATGCCGGACCTAAGGCTCGAGATATCACGGGGGTGGACGCATCGGCACCCAGTCGCCCATAGCCTGAATTCGAAGACGAACATTCGGCAGAAACATAAACCTTGCGCACTCCGCGCGGAGTGCCACAAGTTGTTTGTTTACGCAGTTATTTTGTATGTTTATTTTTCTTCTTCTTCCTATTATTATTCTTATTCTTCTTCTGGAACGTGCAGCTGCGCTATCGGGGGCCAATCGCGATCGCCCCTCAAATGTTGCGCCTCGAAAGGCGAGGCATGGCGGCGACTGCAGCGCAGTCCGAGCTGACCTCGCGCCGCCCGTGCGCCACATCTACGCCAGCTCGTGGGCCTTCGCGGCTGTGGTCGGCGACGGCAGGGTGGTCACGTGGGGCCATCCAGGCTGCGGGGGCGACTCCACCGCGGTCTTCGGAGGCGGAAAAGACACCGATCCCGCCAGGCGCCTCGTTCTTGCTTTTGCCTTGGCTTCCAGGGATGCCCTCGCCGCCACGGCCAGACTCGCCTCGAGATCCTTGCCAGAAGGCGCCCCTGGAGAGGTCCTGTGGAGCCGTTCGGCCACGCGCTCACGGGGGTAGGGTGAGGGGAAAGGGCTTCCTAGAAGCATCCCTGCTTCTTGGAAGGCACGGGCCCTATCTATAGATGTAAGGCCGGCGCCTTCTAAGAAGCAGCCTCCTTTTAAGGAGCCCTCCCCCCCACCCCTTGTTGCGCGCCGCCGAATAGTGGTATTGGTGCCTTCTGGGTTCACCAGGTACGCCAGCAGCTGAGCGCGGGCGTCAGGGAGGTGTGCGCCACCATCGGGGAGGCCAAAAATAGCGGCACGAGCACAGCTCGTGGGCCACCAGGCGGTGTTGCGATCACGCCTTGCGCCGCTGACTCGGGGTGGCCGAGCAGTTTTTTTGGGAGCCTCGGGGCGTTCTCCGAGGACTCCTCGGGCGACCAGGGCCTCCGAGGTCCCAAGGCCGTGCGGTGACGGACCGCACGGTGAGGTCTATTTGGACTCGGTGGTTCGAGTAGGGAATCGACTACAGAATCGATTGACCCCAGCATTCATTTCCCCATCGAATCCACGACGAGCACTGAAGATGTCCGCACATCGACCAGGACTTCGAAGCATCATTCCGAAGATTCGACGAGACAGTGAGTTCTGAGGTGCATCCATTCTGTGGTCGATCCCCTGCTTGAGGGGTCCCCGCGCGGGCCGTCACCACACGGCACTGGGCCCCCCGGGGGGACCTCTCGGAGGCCCGCCGGTGCCTGCCGGGTCGGCGCTCTGGGGGGGGGGGGGCTCGGCTCTCCCCGCGCCCATGCTTCAGCAGGGGAAGAAACACACAGACCCAATTAATCGTCGACTCCCCAGAAAATACAGGAAAATATGGGCAGTGGGGGGGCAGACAGAAACCCAGAAAATAAGGGAAAATATGAGGGATCTTCCTATTTGTGTGTGGTGATGTGTGTGTGTGTGTGGTGATGTGTGTGTGTGTGTGTGTGTGTGTGCGTGTCAGGGCCCCTTCACTGCTGCCTCTGCGCCGAGCGGGCCGGCCCTGGGCAGGCGGGGGAGGGAGAGGCGACACCCGCAGCACCACCGGGCAGGCTACCTCCAGCGGCGGGGCCCACGGTCACCCTGAGCCCTGAATCCTCAGAGCTAAGAGCCTGTAAAAAATTTAAAATCCTGAAGTGCCCACCGTGCTCCTTATGCGCTCCCTTATGCCGCCCCCTTTTTCGGCGCACCCCTCACGCAGATCCTTGCCCTCGGAGTGCCAGGAATAGTGTTCCGAGAGCTTTTGCAAAACGCAGGGCGCACCCCTCACGCAGATCCTTGCAAGCCGGGGTATGCATCGCCAAGGCGTCGGTAAGTTGCTGCGGGAAGCTACTCGTTTTTGCCGCTTCGCGCGCGCGTCGCATCGCCCTTGCATCGGCCTTAGCGCACCGTGCCGCAGTGCTAAGGATGCGAACTGGGGACCCGTCTCCTCGAGGCAACGAGCTATCCCGCGTTCGTTGCGCAGCCACTCCATGCAATATCACCGCCACTGGGCGGCGTCCCTGCGACGCACAGGGACCCGCGTAAATATACGTTGTTCTTCAAATCGCGTCGTCGCGCGCGCGCGCGTGCTGCATCGCCGTTGCAGCGGCTTCCCAGAGGACTTGGCGCGACTGTCGTCGTCGTCGTCGTTTTGAGATCAATATCGTCGTCTTCCTCATCGGTATCGTCGTCGTTTTGACATCAATATGTCTTGGGTCACGGGTGGGTGGGACACGTCCAACAGGATTCAAGTTTGGGCCAGTGGACCCTAAGAACTAATATAAGGTCCTATACAAATCCTAAAACTCCTGAAGCATTTTTTTCCGCGCTCCCTTTTATGCCGCCCCCCACTTCGGCGCACCTCCCACGCAGATCCTTGGCTTCGGAGCGCCAGGACTGGCGTTCTGGGAGGATCTGCTAAACCCAGGGCGCACCCCTCACCCCTCGCGTGCGCGCGCCGCATCGCCTTTGCATCGGCCTTCGCGCACCGTGCCGCAGTGCAAAAAACGCGAACTGGGGATCCGTCGCCTCGAGGCAACGAACTATCCCGCGCGCCTTGCGCAGCCACCCCATGCAGTCTCACCGCCACTGGGCGGCGTCCTTGCGACGCACAGGGGCCCGCGTAAATATGCTTTGTTCTTCAAATCGCGTCGTCGCGCGCGCGTGCTGCATCGCCGTTGCAGCGGCTCCCCAGAAGACTTCGCGCGACTGTCGTCGTCGTCGTCGTCGTCGTTTTGAGATTGATATCATCGTCGTCGTCATCGGTGTCGTCGTCGTCGTTTTGGGATCAATCTGTCTTGGGTCATGGGTGGGTGGGACACGTCCAACAGGCTTCAAGTTTGGGCTAGTGGACCTTAAACCCTAAGGACTAAAAACCTATAAAGATTTAAATCCTGAAGTGCGTGAGCCCGTCCTAAAGCCGCCCCTTATGCCGCCGTAGAAACCGCCCGTTCTGCCGCCCCCCCCTTCCGTCGCAACTCTCACGCAGATCCTTGCCCGCGGAGTGCCTGGAATGGTGTTTTGAGAGCTCTGGCGAATCCCAGGGCGCACCCCTCACGCAGATCCTTGCCCTGGGGAGTGCCAGGAATGGTGTTAAGGGAGCTTTGACGCGGAGCATGCCGATGCAACGAGTTGCCTCGGGCACATCCTTCCCTCCCCCTGTCCAAAGGCTCCTTACGCCGCGTCAACACAATGCACCGAGCGATGCGCAGAGGGCGAGGGGCAAGACAAAAGCGCGCACAGGGCCTTCAGCGTCAGTCCGTCCCCTTGACCGAGCCGATGCGTCGCCCGTGCATCTGCTGTCGCGCGCCGCGTCGCACTTCCAAGGATGCAAACGTGGGAGCCCCTTTTCGTGGAGCCAATCAACCGCCCCGCGCGTTGTGCATCAATCTGGTTTATGCATCGCCAAGGCATCGGCAAGGTGCTCCGGGGTGCCGTTTTGTCGCTTCGCGCGCGCGCGTCGCATCGCGCATGCATCGGCCTTCGCGCGCCGCGTCGCGGGGGAGCGCTCTCCGCCAAGCAATGAACAATCCCGCGTGCCTCGTGGCAAGCCCGGGTATGCATCGCCAGGGAGTCGGTAAGTTGCTGCGGGGAGCTACTCGTTTTGCCGTTTCGCGCGCGCGCGTCGCCTCGCCCTTGCATCGGCCTTCGGGCACCGTGCCGTAGTGCTAACGATGCGAACTGGGGATCCGTCTCTTCGAGGCAACGAGCTATCCCGCGTTCGTTGCGCAGCCAATCATGCAATCTCACCGCCGCTGGGCGGCGTCCCTGCGACGCACAGGGACCCGCGTAAATATAAGTGCGTCGTCGCGCGCGCGCGTGCTGCATCGCCGTTGCAGCGGCTTCCCAGAGGACTTGGCGCGACTGTCGTCGTCGTCGTTCTGAGATCCTTATTGTCGTCTTCGTCATCGGTATCGTCGTCGTTTTGACATCAATATGTCTTGGGTCACGGGTGGGTAGGACACATCCAACAAACTTCAAGTTTGGGCTAGTGGACCCTAAGAACTAAGAGCCCACTAAACTCCTAAAATGCTTTATGTCGCCCTTCGATCGCCCCCTTTATGCCGCCCCCCAGTTCGGCGCACCCCTCACGCAGATCCTTGCCCTCGGCGTCCCTGGGATGGTGTTATGAGAGTGTTTTGCAAATCCCAGTGCGTACCCTTCACCCGTGGCCTCGGACTATACGTTGTTTTTCAAATTGCGTCGTCGCGCGCACGTGCCGCATCGCCGTTGCAGCGGCTTCCCAGAAGATTTTGCGCGGCTGTCGTCGGCGTCGTTTTGCGATCCATATCGTCGTTTTCGCCATCGGTATCGTCGTCGTCGTTTCGAAATCAATATGTATTGTGCCATGAGTGTGTGGGGGGGGGGGGCACGTCCAACAGGTTTCAAATTTGGGCTAGTGAACGCTAAGAACTAAGAGCCTATAGCTATTGATCCTGAAAGTGCCTTATGCCGCTCTTCAATCGCCCCGTTATGCGCTCCCCCATTGTGGCACACTCTTCACGCAGATCCTGTTCCCCGGAGTGCCAGGAAAAGGTGTTCCGAGAGCTTCTGCAAATCGCAGGGGGCATTCTTCACGCAGATCCATGCGAACAGGGGATCCGTCTCCTCGAGGCAACGAGCTATCCCGCTCGCCTTGCGCCGCCACTCCATGCAATCTCACCGCCGCTGGGCGGCGTCCCTGCGACGCACAGGGACTCGCGTAAATGTACGTTGTTCTTCAAATCGCGTGGTCGCGCGCGCGGGCCGCATCTCCGTTGCAGCGGTTTCCCAGAAGACGTTGCGCGTTTGTCGTCGTCGTCGGTTTGAAATCAATCTCGTTGTTTTCGTCATTGATATCGTCGCCGTCGTTTTGAGATCAACATGTCTTGGGTCATGGGTGGGTGGGACACGGCCAACAGGCTTCAAGTTTGGGCTAGTGGACCCTAACAACTAAGAGCATATAGAGATTTATCCTGAAAGTGCCCTATGCCGCCCTTCAATCGCCCCGTTATGCGCTCCCCCATTGTGGCTAGTGGACCCTAAACCCTAAACCCAGAACCTTTAAACCATGGAAATTCCACACAGGCACAAGGAATCGTCGATTCCCAGGAAAGGCGGGAAAACATGGGAAGTGGGGGGGGAAGACGAAAACCCAGAAAACATCCAGAATCCGGGGGCTTGTGTCTTTTTTTTTGTGCGTGTGTGTCTTTGGGCCCCTTCACGCGATGCTGTCCCGAGCTGGGGATCATCCGGCCTGATGCAACCCCGACCGAAAAATCTTACAGTGCATGCTGGGCGGCGGGCGCTTTCTGGCGGTACCGCTCGGGAAACGACACTCTACAAGGTGGACGTATTAGATGTTCGGGTCTCACGCACGACTCCGAGGAGGACTTGTACGGATCCAGCTTGAGTAAGGAGCACGTACTTTTCAAAAGAGGCTCGGTCGTTCCTTTGGTCCGCATGCGTTCCGCTACTTGTTTTGGCGGCGAGCTTTCCTGGTGTTCTTTTCGGACGTCGTAGATTTACTTGGAACAAAAAGAGGCTTCGTTCCTTATTTATCAATCCTAATTTGGACGCCCGAGATGGGTACGTACGGACAATCAGGGTACGATACCGAACAAAATATGTGATCCAACACTTGCAGCGGCCGCTATTGGGCAGGCGGCCTTCTGTCTCGAATGAACAACGTCCGCGACGGCGCGGACAGCGAGTCCTGTCCGGAATGAACATGAACTGCTGTTGGGCATCGTGCCCATTCTTTCCGTGCCCATTTCGATCGTCCCGCACTGTCGTACGACTGTGTTCTTCTGCGTCCCATGGGGGGCCCGCTGCCAGCAGAGGACTCCGCTTGGCCGCTCGCACTGGCGGCGGTGGTGTGCGCAGCTCCCTGCCCGCGCGGGCCCCGGGAGCCCGCGCGGAGGGCCGAGATCCGGTGCCCCGCCCCCCGGAAATGCGATGCCAACGGCCGCTCCTCGATCCCCTCGCTCCCTGGTCCTCGAACCTGGACCCTCGATCCTCGAACCTCGATCCTCGATCCTCGATCCTCGATCCCCGATGCTCGATCCTCCATCTTCCGTCCTCCATCCTCGAATCTCCCCCCTCTGACCCTGCGGGCCGACGCAGCAAAAACAGTGCGACGTCGCAGAGAATCACGCCGGGAGCCCTGGAACCCACCTCTCCTCCGCATTTGTCGCGCCAGATGATCGGCCCGTGGTCCAGGGCCCCGGGATGGGGCGGAAGCGCCTGGTGGGGAAAACTGCAGCGCCCGGTTCTCGAGGGCGCGGTGCTCTGTTTGGTCTCCCGGCCGTGGGCGCTTTTGCGGCCGTGCTGGCGGACGGCAGCGTGGTGACCTGGGCCTCGCAGGTGGGGTCCGAGAGGATGGGGCCCGAGGCTGGCGCCGCAGTGCCGAGGCATCGGCGATGCGGCTCGATGTGGAGCCCGAGTGCCTCCGAGCCGACGACGCCGATGCCTCGTTCACGCGGCGCGATCCTTCGACCCCACCTGTTCGGACCCCACCCGGGAGGCCCCCAGAGGTGACCTGGGGCGACCCCAGCTGCGGCGGCGACAGCTCTGCAGTGCGGCACCGGCTGCGCGGCGGCATCGAGCGGGTGTACGCCACGTCATGGGCCTTTGCCGCGGTGGCGGGCGACGGGAGCGTGGTGACGTGGGGCAGCGCGGAGGGCGGCGGGGACAGCGCCCGCGCGGCCGAGGCTGGCGGCGCCGTCCGAGGGGAGAGGGCGCCAGCGTTAAGTCGGGCATGTTCCTCTACCGGGGGAGTAGTCAAACGTAGGCCAAAAATAGTCTGGGGGGCGATGTTTCGACCATCTTTGACATTTTTCGATTATTTTTTGATATTCTTAATTTGTCGTCAAAGTCCGCCTGTACGAGCACATGCCCGACCTAAGGCCAGCGGTGCGAGCAAGGTTTACGGTCGGACCGAGGTATCAGATCGAGGTCGGTTCGGGGAGGGTTCCTTGATGTTTTTTGTGTTTGTTGGATGTTCTTGCGTCTTCTGGGGGAGGGCACCCTCGAACGTTCCGTTAGTTTTGGCCGGCGGAGGGTCTTATTTTGTTTGAGGGATGTTATTGTGGCCTAGGTCCGTTTGTATATCCAAGTGATCCATTCCATACATCAGAGGAGGATAAGGTACCGATGTTCACACGCATGCCGCACTTCCTAATTTTCGGCTCCTGAGAGGCCCTCGTCGCCACGGCTGGATTCGCCTCGGAACCCTGCTCAGACAGCACCCTGGGAGAGGTCCCCGGGGAAAGGCGGCGGAAGGCCCGCGGAAGGCGGAAGCACAGCGAAGGCGCCTCCGCTGGTGGAAGCCAGCGGGAGTAAAAGATGCGCCCCTCAGAGATGGCAAGTTTTTGTTGGCTCGGGGCCTTCGGAACCCACCATATCCCCAAAGACCTTGGGCGCGAACTGAGGGGGGCGATACATGGGGGGGGCAGCGAGGGCTGCAGAAAAGAAACCTTTTTAGGGCCCCGGAAGGGCCCTGAAGGGGCCCTTTAGGGACCCAGAGTGAGCCTTTATGGCCCAGAAAGGGCACCTGTCTTACACCCCAGTTATCGCCCCCCACTCATTCGCGCCCAGATACCCCAAGGAGCCGTGACAGAAGTCGTGTCGAAGGTATTTGTCAGCGTTCGGCCTCTGAGCCCTCAATGAGCCCCGGCGGACCGTCGAGGAACGACGCGCGCGGGATAAAGCACCGGTGCTGGAGAAGGTGCCCCGACCGCTGGGTGTCCACGCCAGGAACAAGTCATGACGCGTCGGGGGTCTGGGTCCACGGTGTCCCGGATTGTTTCGGCGGCGAGCGAGGGGGGGAGGTGAGAAGGAGGAGGCTTTCTCAGGAGGCGGCGGGACTTCTCAGAAGCCCTCGCGCCTTTGAGAGGTTTGTTTGTGTCTCCGAGGGAGGTATGGAAAACTTCTCAGAGGGCTGGGGACTTCCGAGCCTTCTGAGAAGGCCCGCCCTTTCCCATTTCCCCCCAAGGCTCGCCACCGATTGTCGGGTAAGTGACTCGAGAACCCGAGGCGCAGTTGGCATGACTATGATCCTGCCCTTCCAGCGGCCTGCTTTTTTCCTTATCCACTGCGCCGTGGGCCTCAGGGAAGGGAGCCCAGAACTTCGAGGCGCAGTGGATATGGATAATTGAATCGCTTCGCTCACTCTGCCAGCCCATATTGAATCAGTGCTGCTATATGTTGGCGTGCTCGTGGTGAGCGAGGAGGAGCAGGAGGAGTAGGAGGAGGCGGAGGAGGAGGAGGAGGAGGAGGAGGAGGAGGAAGAAGAGGGGAGGATGAGGATGAGGAGGACGCCTCTCGATGGCTTTTTGGGGCATTTGTGGGGTCTCTTGGGAGGGCTCTCGGGTGCATCTCAGGCGCCTCTTCGGGAGCTCGTGGGGGCCTTTGGGGATCTCCTGGGAGAGTCTGGCTCGAAATGTCCAGAGCTCTCGGGAGCTTCTTGGGAGCTCTTGGGGGCCTTCTTGGAGGCTTTCCGAGGCGGTCTTGGAGAGCTCTTCGGCTTTTTGGGACCGTCTGCGGCTCTGTTGGGCTACTTTGAGGCCCTCCAGGAGGTCTTTTTGGTTGCCTTGGGCTGTCTTGGAGGCGTGTTGGGCCGCCTTGGGGTCATCATGGGCCGTCTTGGGACCTTCTTGAAGCCTTCTTGGGCCGTCTGGTGGCGATGTTGAGGGCCTCTTGGGCTGTCCTGCAGCGTCGGGAAGCCGAACAGGTGAGAACGCCCAAATCAAATCCTTCAAAGACCAATGGGAAGTCACTAGTTTTTGTATCCTGGGGCCTCTGGAGACGCTTCTTGGAGGCGTCTGCAGGCGTCTTCGAGGCGTCTGCGGCCGCGTGGAGGCCATCTTGGGCGTCTTGGACCGATCGGTCGGCGACTCGGCGCCCTCTCGGACCATCTTGAGGGCCTGCTGAGGCCCTCTTGGAGCGCGCTGAGGGTGCAGAAAACCGCCCCGGGGAGTGCCGGCATCCTGGGGCAGACCTTGCCGGGAGCTTGCCGAATCCCTGCCAGGGTACAATTGTCGTCCAGGGACCCCGCGGGGACCGCCCCGCGCCCAGCACTTCGAGGCGCAGTGGGCATGGATGATTCTTGGATCTTGCCCGCACGGGGGTCGACGACCTCTGGGGGCGGGGGGGGGCGGGTCAGAGAGACTCGCAGGCCTAGAGGTTGACGCCAACACCACTGTCGGCGGTGTGCCTCCACCGAGGGAGGAAGATTCCGATCTCGGTGATGGTGGTAGTATTCTGGCTTCCGAGGTGACCGAAATATCAACACCAGCATCGAGATCTAGGATCATCTTCCCCCTGTGGAGGCAGCCCCCATGTGTTGGCGTTGGTGCTCCTGACCAGGCCTCCGCGAGATCAGTGGCTGGTGACTGACCAGGGTTTGCCTACTCTTCTGCCCAGAAGCCGGTTACGGCCCCCGTCGCCGGGCGCCCGTCCTCGATCGATGCAGTCTGGCGCCTCACGGCGCCCGGAGGCGCTGGGGAGACCAGCTGTACAGGAGCTAGTCTATTCCCCCTCGATTGCCCTTAAGTCGTGCGTGTTCCTCTACAGGAGGAGCTTTCCAAAATAGTTTAAAAAATAGTCTGAGGACGATTTGTAGTTTTTTTCACCATATTTCTGAGCGTTTCTGGGGGCGTGTTTTATTGTTCGTCCGAAACCCGCCTGTATGGGGGACACGCCTGACCTAAGATGACCCGCCTCCCAGTCCTCCGACCCGAGCGGCGGCCTTGCTAGAAGAGCCTTCCTAGAAGAGCCCTGGGGGGAGGCTCCCACGAGGGCTGTCGGAGGCCCCCCCCCCGAGGGGCCCCTCCCACGAGGGCCCAGCCGCCTGCCTCCTCGCCCCCCGGCCCCTCCCGCCTTCGCAGGAAGAGGCCGTCGCCATCGCCCCGCCCCCTCGCCCGAGATCTCCACGACATTATTTAATATATATATATATATATATATATATATATCCCCTCCTCCTCCTCCTCCTCCTCCTCCTCCTCCTCTTCCTCCTCCTCCTCCTCCTTATCTATATGTGTGTATGTATGCGTATACATACACACCCGGGTTCAGGGAAGGGTGGCGGCGTATAGATAATTTATGAGCGCCAGCTGCTGTGTACGCCGACGCCCACCCTGCAGGTACACGCAGCATCCGTCGGAGGGTGTCTGCGTACACATTCTCGTGACCGGCGTTGGCCCCCGGGCCGGAGGAGTGGTCCGAAGGGGCCTTCCGCGCGCCGTGACCTCCTCCTCCACGGCGCGCGCGACGCCGCACCAGGGCCAGGGGCAGCATCTCGGGGAGGGGCAGGGCTCGGGGGGCAGGGGCTGGACCAAGCCGCTGCTTTGCTGGGACTCGGCTGTGCTTTGGTTTTTCCTTCTGGCAGGGAGGTGCAGGAAAACAGGCAGAGCAGAACGAAAAACGACACGAAGACAAAACGAACACGCAACGTTTAGGTCCAGCCCTGTCAGGGGCGGTGGCAACGTCAGGGGCCGGTGCCAGTGTCGACAACGTTCGGGGGGGAGAGTGGAAGTTTAACGTTTCGTCGTTTCTGTCTGGGCGGCTTCCCACACTTGGTGGCGTGGTGGCGTAGGCTGTCGGAGTTTGAACACGTAGGTTTTCGGGCGTCTTCGTCGGTTCTCGGCGGCTTCCCAGCCTCGGGGTGCCCGCCAGCAGCAGCAGCTGTGCCTCGCCGAGGGGCGGCCTGGGCGGACCGCGCCTCGCGGCGGACGGTCACTGGAGACCCGCGCTATGACCCGAAAAACTAGGCGATGAGGATCATCGGCGGCGAGCGAGGGGGGCGACGTGAGAAGGGGCGGGCTTTCTCTCAGAGGGCTCGGAAGTCCCCTGGCCTTCTGAGAAGTTCTCTAAGCCTTCCCCGGAGACACCGGACACTTCTCAGAAGGCGCGAGGGCTTCCGAGAAGTCCCGCCGCCTGCTGAGAAGGCCTCCTCCTCCTCACCTTCCCCCCCCGACTCGCCGCCGGGATGACTTTGGGATTTTAGGTGCTCATGGGGGAGTGCGACGGCCCGCAATCGTCCGCTGATCGCCGACAGGGGCGCGACGGCCCGTCCCGCCCAGCAGCGTGCGGACTCGCCCTCGGGGGTCTATCGCCCACCTGTCTGCGACGTGTCGCCGATTCCAGCTCGATGCTTCCGTTCCCGAGCTGGACCCCCCCCCCAAGGCGGCCTGGAAGGGTTCAGGGAGGGCCCGCGATGTCCTAGGGTTAAGTCGGGCGTGTCCCTCTACAGGAGGAATATCCAAAACTAGTAAAAAAAGAATCCGAGGGCGTTGTTTGTTGGACTCTTTGTTGGTTACTCTTGGAGCATATGTTGGGGATATGTCTTGATTCTTCGTCCAGAATCCGCCTGTAGGGGGGCATGCCCGACCTAATCATGGGGGGCTGGCCTCTGACCAGTTCGAGCCGCCACCCCCGCCGCTCCGAGTTGTCGGCCCTCGGGTGCCCCACTGGCCTCCCCGTTGGCCCGAGGGGGGCCAGCCCGAGGCGTCATTCCTCCCTCGGCCGAGCCCCTCGGCCGGCTGCGAGGAGGGCTTCGACCAGGCCAGCGACATGTTTTCTTGATATCCAGACACAGCAGACCCAGACAGGACTGCGTCGTGAAAGGATCAGGACGGGCAATCCTTGGGTATTCTCGGCCCCGGGGGTCTCTCGCCGGGCCTCGGGACCGTCAAAGAAACAACTCAGGACGAAACACCGGTCCCGGGGAAAGCGTCGGGACTTCCAGGGACGCCGTCCTGAAAAAGTCAGGACGTCGCAAGTCATGGGACATGGCCTTCGGGCGCTCCTTTGGGGACCCGCTAGGAAGCGCCCCGCCGCCAGGGGGGTTCGACCAGGACTGCGACACGTTTTCAACCTGTGGCGAAGCGTCCTGGCGTGCCCATAGGCCTACCAAACCATGTTCTAAGAACCTTTTGTGGTCTGCCCGAAGTGTTCTCAGAACGTTCCTGGCTGGGGCTGTCTTGTCTTGACACATTGGAACTCTGTTCTAGGAGCACCGCTTTTGTTCTTAGAACATTTTTGGGGTTCTAGAAAGACTTTGTGGTAGGCCTATAGGAATGCCAGGCCGGTCGGTCACTGCTCATTTTTTCTTGATGTCCAGATGCAGCAGACATGACCTTGGGGCGCTCCTTTGGGGACCCGCCGGGAAGCGCCCAGCGGCCAGGGGCTCATATCTTCCCACTTGGGCGCTCGCAGACGGGAGTGCCAGGAACTGGGGTGCACACTTGGGTCAGAATCGCCCCCCCCATCTCTGACGCTCCCACGTTTCGGATCCCCGCTGGGGCTGCTAAGGGGCCACGTGTCTTAAGTGGATGCCGGGGTGGGTGATCTCTGGCCTGACCTAGGTGTACGGGTCATCAGCGGCTCACGGATTGCAATGATCTCGGTTAGATTGACGGAGCCCACTTCAGAATTGCCAAACCTCTTTGAAGCCACTTCGGGCCAGTTTCTGGCCCCCTCGCAGGGCTTCGCTGCCGGCGTCCGCGACGTGAGCGCCACCTGCCGCGCCTTCGCGGCGGTGACGCGCGGCGGCGCCGTCGTCGCGTGGGGCGACCGGCACTGCGGGGGCGACTCCAGCGCGGTGCTCGGAGGAGAAAGTCGAACAATCAAAAAACAGCATAAGCATCGGAGGGAGGAGAAGCGACACCAACACCACAGGGGAAACCCACCTCCAGCGAGGAGGTCCACGATGCCTCCCCGAGCTGGAGGCTGGGGATGTCTCGAGCGAGAGGGAGGGACCAAGCCACCAGGGAGACCCCCCTTGCCTCCTCGCATCTCCTCGCCCTGGTGGTGTTGGTGTTGCCTTTCCTTCTGTTCCTAAATCATACACTCTTTGGCGGTCCGCACGGATGTTTTGGATCCGCGTTGGTGCCCCATGGCGGCGCCTTCTGCGCCGCCCCCAGCGCGCTCCGCGCGCCAGGGAGGGGGTATCCAGCGCAGATCCAAGAGATCCGCGCGGACCGTCGAAAGTTTATGCTTTTAGGGAAACGAGTTGCAATTGTTTTTTGCTGCGTTCAGATCCTCGGGGCCCTCAACGGACCCCTGGACAGTCAGAAAACGACTCAGGGTGAAGCACAAGTCCCAGTGGAAGGCCCCAGGGCCGAGGACCTGTTTCCCTCGGAACCCCTTTCCTTCGCGCTAGGGTGGTCGAAGGGCGCCGATACCAGAACCCTTGCCTCGCGTTCGCCTTTTGGGGCCCCCCTCGGAGGCCCTCGTCGCCACGAATGGACTCGCCTCGAGATTATGGTCGCACTTCGTGGGTGGAAGCAAGCCCGTAAGGGCGGCATTTCGCGGGCCCGGCCATTGGGCCGCGACCCCGCGGATACGGGGCGTTCATTCGCGGTTGCCCCTCGCGGGACGCATCCGTGCGACGGCGTATGTGTGTGTCACTTGAGTTGCGGGGACGACTCCACCGCGGTACTCAGAGGAGGGAACGGTACCGCTACCGCACCGTTGTCTCGTTCTCTCGTTTTCTCGCCGCCACGGCGGAATTTGCCTCGAGAGCCTGGTCAGAAGGCACTCTGGCTGAGGTCGGGGGAGCAGCGGTATCGGTACCTTTAAGTCGTATATATATATATATATATATATATTACTAGCCGGCCGCTCTGCGGGTGATCGGGAGTTTCTGTATATAGAAGAAGGTGCGTGCGCTTGTTGGCGAGGGTGAGGATGAGGTTCCTCCTCCTCCTCCTCCTCCTCCTCCTCCTCCTCCTCCTCCTCCATCCTTCTCTTGCCTCCGTCTGTCCTCCTCCACCCCGCAGCTCCATCATCTTCTCCTCCTCCTCCTCCTCCTCCTCCTCCTCCTCCTCCTCCTCCTCCTCCTCCTCCTCCTCCTCCTCCTCCTCCTCCTCCTCCTCCTCATTCCTCCTCATTCCTCCTCTGGGCACCTCCCCCGGGGCGCGGATCCACCGGATCTGTCCGGATCTGTCCGGAAACGGTGCCGGAGGCCGCTCTGGGCTCCTCTGGGCACCTCCCCCGGGGCCGGTTTTGTGAGGATGTCTCAAGCGAGGGCGCCGGTTTGGGATTCGTCACCGGATCCAGCGGATCTCCGTCCCGGAAACGGTGCCGGAGGCCGCTCTGGGCTCCTCTGGGCACCTCCCCCGGGGCCGGTTTTGTGAGGATGTCTCAAGCGAGGGCGCCGGTTTGGGATTCGTCACCGGATCCAGCGGATCCACCGGATCTGTCCGGAAACGGTGCCGGAGGCCGCTCTGGGCTCCTCTGGGCACCTCCCCCGGGGCCGGTTTTGTGAGGATGTCTCAAGCGAGGGCGCCGGTTTGGGATTCGTCATCCGGATCCAGCGGATCTGTCCGGAAACGGTGCCGGAGGCCGCTCTGGGCTCCTCTGGGCACCTCCCCCGGGGCCGGTTTTGTGAGGATGTCTCAAGCGAGGGCGCCGGTTTGGGATTCGTCACCGGATCCACGGATCGGATCTGTCCGGAAACGGTGCCGGAGGCCGCTCTGGGCTCCTCTGGGCACCTCCCCCGGGGCCGGTTTTGTGAGGATGTCTCAAGCGAGGGCGCCGGTTTGGGATTCGTCACCGGATCCAGCGGATCCACCGGATCTGTCCGGAAACGGTGCCGGAGGCCGCTCTGGGCTCCTCTGGGCACCTCCCCCGGGGCCGGTTTTGTGAGGATGTCTCAAGCGAGGGCGCCGGTTTGGGATTCGTCATCCGGATCCACCGGATCTGTCCGGAAACGGTGCCGGAGGCCGCTCTGGGCTCCTCTGGGCACCTCCCCCGGGGCCGGTTTTGTGAGGATGTCTCAAGCGAGGGCGCCGGTTTGGGATTCGTCACCGGATCCACCGGATCTGTCCGGAAACGGTGCCGGAGGCCGCTCTGGGCTCCTCTGGGCACCTCCCCCGGGGCCGGTTTTGTGAGGATGTCTCAAGCGAGGGCGCCGGTTTGGGATTCGTCACCGGATCCAGGATCCAGCGGATCTCTCCCGGAAACGGTGCCGGAGGCCGCTCTGGGCTCCTCTGGGCACCTCCCCCGGGGCCGGTTTTGTGAGGATGTCTCAAGCGAGGGCGCCGGTTTGGGATTCGTCACCGGATCCAGCCGGATCTGTCCGGAAACGGTGCCGGAGGCCGCTCTGGGCTCCTCTGGGCACCTCCCCCGGGGCCGGTTTTGTGAGGATGTCTCAAGCGAGGGCGCCGGTTTGGGATTCGTCACCGGATCCAGCGGATCCAGCGGATCCACCGGATCTGTCCGGAAACGGTGCCGGAGGCCGCTCTGGGCTCCTCTGGGCACCTCCCCCGGGGCCGGTTTTGTGAGGATGTCTCAAGCGAGGGCGCCGGTTTGGGATTCGTCACCGGATCCAGCGGATCCACGATCGGATCTGTCCGGAAACGGTGCCGGAGGCCGCTCTGGGCTCCTCTGGGCACCTCCCCCGGGGCCGGTTTTGTGAGGATGTCTCAAGCGAGGGCGCCGGTTTGGGATTCGTCACCGGATCCAGCGGATCCACCGGATCTGTCCGGAAACGGTGCCGGAGGCCGCTCTGGGCTCCTCTGGGCACCTCCCCCGGGGCCGGTTTTGTGAGGATGTCTCAAGCGAGGGCGCCGGTTTGGGATTCGTCACCGGATCCACCGGATCTGTCCGGAAACGGTGCCGGAGGCCGCTCTGGGCTCCTCTGGGCACCTCCCCCGGGGCCGGTTTTGTGAGGATGTCTCAAGCGAGGGCGCCGGTTTGGGATTCGTCACGGATCCACCGGATCTGTCCGGAAACGGTGCCGGAGGCCGCTCTGGGCTCCTCTGGGCACCTCCCCCGGGGCCGGTTTTGTGAGGATGTCTCAAGCGAGGGCGCCGGTTTGGGATTCGTCGGCGGATCCACCGGATCCACCGGATCTGTCCGGAAACGGTGCCGGAGGCCGCTCTGGGCTCCTCTGGGCACCTCCCCCGGGGCCGGTTTTGTGAGGATGTCTCAAGCGAGGGCGCCGGTTTGGGATTCGTCACCGGATCCAGCGGATCTGTCCGGAAACGGTGCCGGAGGCCGCTCTGGGCTCCTCTGGGCACCTCCCCCGGGGCCGGTTTTGTGAGGATGTCTCAAGCGAGGGCGCCGGTTTGGGATTCGTCACCGGATCCACCGGATCTGTCCGGAAACGGTGCCGGAGGCCGCTCTGGGCTCCTCTGGGCACCTCCCCCGGGGCCGGTTTTGTGAGGATGTCTCAAGCGAGGGCGCCGGTTTGGGATTCGTCACCGGATCCACCGGATCTGTCCGGAAACGGTGCCGGAGGCCGCTCTGGGCTCCTCTGGGCACCTCCCCCGGGGCCGGTTTTGTGAGGATGTCTCAAGCGAGGGCGCCGGTTTGGGATTCGTCACCGGATCCACCGGATCTGTCCGGAAACGGTGCCGGAGGCCGCTCTGGGCTCCTCTGGGCACCTCCCCCGGGGCCGGTTTTGTGAGGATGTCTCAAGCGAGGGCGCCGGTTTGGGATTCGTCACCGGATCTCTGTCCGGAAACGGTGCCGGAGGCCGCTCTGGGCTCCTCTGGGCACCTCCCCCGGGGCCGGTTTTGTGAGGATGTCTCAAGCGAGGGCGCCGGTTTGGGATTCGTCACCGGATCCACCGGATCTGTCCGGAAACGGCGCCGGAGGCCGCTCTGGGCTCGTGCTCTTCGCGCCGGGGGTGAGGATGACGTGAGTTCCACAGAAACTCCCTCAAATCACACGCACCTCTCCGAGGGAGTAGAGCTCAGAGGTGATTTTTCTGGCCGTTTAGCTAGAGACATTCTCGAAATTCTGAAAACCGGTGGCACCTCTCACACAGATCCTGACGTCAGGGTAAAAAAAACACAGGGATTTCAATATTTTAATATAAAACCTTCAAAAACACATGGTAATTTCAATGATTTTGACCCCGACTCTCAGAGAATGGTGGTTTCGCCTGAGACATCCTCCCAATGCCGAGTCCCGACGTACCTTCTGGAACCCCAGACCCCGCCTCGGAGCCTCCTGGGGGCCTCCTGGAACCTCCTGGGGGCCTCCTGGGGCTTTCTGTGCCTTCTGGTACCCCAGACCCCGCCTCGGAGCCTCATGGGGAACTCTTGGAACCTCTGGAGGTCTTCTGGGGCCTCCTGCAACCTCCTGGAGCCTCTTGGGGCTTCCTGGAGCCTCCCGGGGTCTCCTGGGGCCTCCTGAGGCCGCCTGGGGCCTCCTGGGGCCTCCTGGGGCCTCCTGGTGGTCTGGCCATTTTCGCCTGCGACATCCTCGCAACTCTTGGTTCCAAGATGCTCTGAACTCAGGTGTTCAGGTTACTTTCGCCTGAGACATCCTCGCAACTCTGGGTTCCGAGATGCCCTGAGCTGAGGTTGTCAGGCCACTTTCGCCTGAGACATCCTCGCAACGCTGACCTCGAAGAGGCATTGCCCTCGTCGATCCTCCTGCTCGATCCCCAATCCTTTTGGGGGGGTTCTTACTCGATCTTAGATTATTCTGCGTTCACCTCCTGCCGCTTCCCCTTCTCTTAGGCACGCCCTGGCGGCGCCTCCCCAGCTTCCCCTTCTCCATCTCCGATCCCGCCGTCATGGTGTCTTCCTCCTGCTTCAACCGCCCTTTGGGTTTTTTGAACGAGCCTGGGCACACACGTGCCACGTGTGTATATATATATATATGTATATATACATACATATATGTGTATATATATATATATGTATATCGTCCGCGGCCCCGCGGCCCAGGGTCGCACACTGTTCCTAAACTCCCCCCCCCCCGTAACCGAATTTGCCGCTTGGGCTGCGGGGGCCTTGTTTGGCATCCAGGGGCCCATATTCGGAGTCCTGGAACTTTTTCCGCTTCCCCGATGCGTCCACCTAGGTTTCTGGAGACGGCAAGATGCCGACAAGACGGCCCAAGAGCGCTCGAAGCCGCCCAAGATGGCCCTATGATCGGCCCAAGAGGCCCCCAAGATGCCCCAAGGTCGCTCTGCGAGGACCTCCAAGAGAGCCTCAAGATGCCAAAATCATTGATTATCATTGTGTGTTTCCAACATGTGTTGCTTCTCACGTTTTCGAGCGGCCGACACTCCAAGACTGCCCAAGAAGCCTCCAACGTCGCCCCAAGAGGCCCCCAAGAGGCCCCCAAGACGGCCCAAGAGGGCCGCATGATCGGCCCAAGAGGCCCCCAAGAGGGCCTGAAGAGGGCCTGAACTCGGCTCCAAGATGGGCCCAAGAGAGGGAACGCGAACCGACTTTTCGAATTTCCCGTCCCCAGAGACCCCCAGGAGGCCCCAAGAGGCCCCAAAGTGGCTCCAAGAGGCTCCAAAGAGGACCCAAAGATGCTTAAGAGAGGTCCGACAAGCTCCACAACGCCCCCGTGGAGGCTTCAAACCTGCTTCCAGAAGGCCCCCCTAGAGGCATCCCACGATATCATCCCAGCGAACATACGAGAAGCCTCTAACCCACAACCTAGACACGGTTGCGGGATGGACCCAGAACTGCGACCTCTGGTTCGCATGGGGGGCTGGGGGGGCTTTGAGGGCTCCAAGAGGGTTCAGAAGTGGCCCCGGACCCCCCCAGAGGCTCCCAAGCTGGCCCAAGATATTCCCAAGGAGGCTCCAGAGAGCCCCCCCAAATGCCCGAACAGAGGCGCCCTCTGCCCCAAGAGGCCCCCAGGAGGCCCCAAGAGACTCCCAGGAGGCCTCCACGACGCCCCAAAAAGCTACCAAAAAGGCTCCAGAAAGACCCGAGAAGCTCCCGAGAAACCCCCACCGAGCTCGTAGGAGGCCTCTACAGAGACCCTCAGAAACCCACCAGAAGCCCTTCGTCCTCCATTCTCTGGAACAGCCCTTCGGAACACGTGGCCCTGGCTGCACCCCCCGACCCGCCCACCCAATGTCGAGGCCCGAGGACGCCCCCATGACGCCCGCAAGACGCTCCGGAAACGCCTCTCCCGCGCACGTGGATCAGGTGACAATGATGCTGATCGTCGGTGGTCCGTCGTCGTCATCGTCGTCGTCGGTCGTCGCTGGTACGCTACAGGCCAAACTCATCCTTGAACTCCGCAGTATCCGCCCGAAAATCACGCATGGGTGAAAGGAAGGAGCCCGGATGACCACATGGAAAAGGTCCCATGGAAATTGACACAGTCTTCGGAGTCGACTAGAACCTAAACGCGCGCGAAGCGCGCGCCGGGTTCCAGTTAAAGAATATTGTAAACAGTCTGGGGACGATTGTTCGACTAGTTTTGATTCTCCTTTGTTATTTTCGAGCATGGTTAGTTGTTCTTTCAAAATCCGCCTGTAGGAGGACATGCCCGACCTGACGGTACTTTTTTGTTTCCCCAGGTGGCTTCGCGGCTCGCTGGGGGCGTCCAGCGGGTCTTCGCCACCTCGTCGGCCTTCGCGGCCGTGCGCGAGGACCCTTGAAACAAATCGGGCGCAGGATTTTTCCAATGCCGGGCGTTGACGCCTGTGGTTCCAGGCCTTGGGACCAGTGGAGGCTCGTTTGGTTCGAAAAACACAAAAGAACGATGCGGTCTGGGGCTCCAGTTTTGTTATGGTCGCGATGTTGTACTCTCTTTCTTTCGCGATGCCCTATCACAGCTAGGGCCACCCCAGGGCCTCTTCACGCTGCGCACGGAACACCGACGGAACGGCTTTCGTCGTTTTGACAGTCCGTCGGGCCTCATTTCGCGCTCTGGGGGACGTCAGGGATCGATCAGGGGCGAACTAGCCCGCCCCAGGGAAGTGATCCAGACTTTGGGGCTCACGGCGTGCAAGGCCACAGCGTCGGAGTTCTGGCCGCCGCCCGTTGCCGCCCTCGCCGCCGTCCGCCGGAACGCGTCGGGCCTGTCTGGCGAGCCCAGAAAGAAGGATGGATCTCCAGGCCTCCCGGATGGGGTCCAAGTTGAAGGGGTCGGAGGATCGCGCCGCATCGCCGATGCATCGGCGATGCGGCTCGATGTGGAGCACGGTCTGTTCCACACCGACGGCGCCGTTGCACCGCCTGTGCATCGTCGAGGCGGTGTTGTCTTCCGACCCCATCCACAGCTGGAACGACGGTAACAAAAGCAACCCTGAGTATGTTGGAGGGGTGCCCTTCAGTTCTGTTCCACGTGTGGGGGATCTCTACATTGTAGTGTTCTTCGTTGGGGTATCTCCGTGCGGCCTTGGTCCCTCTATGCAGGGACTCGTGTTCTTGACTCACGTTGTTGTGCTGTAACTGTTCACTGTACCCTGACCCATTTTGGGGAGGCCTCCAGCATCGCTCCAGACCGTCCCAAAACACATGCCCTCAGAGCATCCCAGAGCGCACTGAAGGGGCCGCGGCCCCTGGTGCATCCTCTGTACCCACCCGTTTTCATGGGCGACCGCGAAAGCGCAAGGGTATTCGCGTTTTGCATGTTTGCGGTCTGGTTCGTGTTCCGTTGGTAAGGCTTCGGTCTAGGCCTTTCACATGGGCTCCGAGCAGATGGGGTCGGAGGATCGCGCCGCATCGCCGATGCGTCGGCGATGCGGCTCGATGTGGAACCCAATTTTCTCCACGCCGACGGCACTGATGCACAGCTGGCGTCGCCCGTGTATCACCGATGCACAGGCGACGCCGATGCATCGTCCTGGTCCTCCTCCACCGCCTTCTTCCTTCTCCTCGCGCACGTGGTGGAGGGAGGTGGACGTGTCGGAGGCGGAGGTGTACAGGAGTAGGAAGATGAGGTGCAACATGGTGAAAGACAAGGAAAATGAGGGGAGGACTGGAGGAGGTGCACCATGGTGGAGTAGAAAGAAAGGGAGGAGGATCAAGAGGTACCGCGAGGCCGAGTTGTGCACGTTGATGGTGCAGGCTGGACCATTCCGTCGGCTACGCTCGAGGAGGATCAGGAGTTGCACCATGGTGTAGGAGGGCAACCTCGCCAACCTCCCCTTCATGTCGTGTTATTATCTTCCCTCCTCGTTCGCTCTCCCCCGAGGGGACTTCATAGGTTCGGGCAACGCCCCAAAGCATGGACAATCAGCCTTCCTCCTCCTGGGTCGGTCGGTCGGTCGATGTGCAAAGAAATTGGAAATTAGAACGCAGTTGAATGATACACTGAACCGAAGGCACGGGAATAGCATAGGACGGAAACCAATGTAGGACGGAAACCACCGAGGCATGGATAGAGTTCTTAGCCGTTGTAGCGCACGGCGGGGTGCCAGAATTCAAAAGAGCAAGCTCAAAGCTTGAGACTTACGCTTCACCTTAGCTGCTCGATCTTGAGCTTACGACTCTTCGTGGGTGCCAAGCGTGTTTGGGAGAGGTCCAGGGAGGTGATGTGCACATGTCGGCGACGACCAAGCGAACATAAAGTTATGGCGGGACGCCGGGCTCCAGCAAAACCAAAAACACATACTTTCAAGTCGAGGCTTACGAATCATGGCAGCTACTCGAGCTTGTGCCTGGGATTCCATGTGTGGGCCACACGTAGTTTTGGGAGGGTCAGGGAGGGTTGAAGCGCACGAACACATGTTTGTCGCATTGCAGTTGTTGTTTGCGTTTCGGTGTGTGTGTGTGTATGTTGCACTGCAGTTCTCGTTGTGGTGTGGTGTAGCTGATCGAGCCTGAGTTTCGGATCCCGCGTGGGAGCCAAGAGTGGTTCGGGGAGGTCCAGAGGGGGCGTGATACGCACATCTCGGCGACGACCGCACTGACCCAGTTGGTTTTGCATTGTTTTTTTGTTGGCGTTGCATTTGTTGATGCATTGCAGTTGCTTCTGCGTTGCAGCTTCGTTGCGCTGCAGCGGCACAGCTAGAGCTTGAGCTTGTGTTTCCGCGTGGGAGCCAAGCATGGTCTGGGGAGATTCAGGAAGGGATGAAGCGCACATCTCGGCGACGACGACAGGAGCGTACCTTCCTGCATTGCATTCTTTGTTGCATTACCGTTTATTTTGTCCTGTAAAAGCGTGCGAGGATTCCGCGTACGTTCCAAGCATAACCGTGGGAGATTCAGGGAGAGTTGCATGCAGACATGTTGGCGACGACGACGCGAACATGTTTTTGTGTATTACGTTCCCTGTTTGCGTTGCAGTTTCTTCTGCATTGAGTTTTTTTGTTCGCTGTAGTGGCGCTGCTAAAGCGGGCTGGCAGGTCTGGTTGGCGGGTCTGACTGGTCTGGCTGTTCTGAATCATTGGTTTGGCTCGTCTACTTGGTCTGCGCAGGTTGACCTGCTTGGTCTAGTCTGGGTTTCGCTGGTCTGAGTGGCTAGGAAATCTGGCTTGTCTGGTAGGTCCACTTGGCTGGTCTGGTTGGTCTGCCTGGCTGGTGTGACTGGGTGGTCTGAATTGTTGTTTGGTCTGGGCGGCACCAGTGGTTATTCTAGTCTGTTCACTTGCGGGCCATTCACAGCCAGACAATTGTTGTTGCATGGCCGTTTCGGTGATCAGGTTGATCTGCTTTTTCTGGCCAGTGCTTGTCGGCTTGGTCCAGTGTATCATGCCCCGAGGCCGCGGACACATCCCACGAACCAGTAAAACATGCCGCCGCAAGAGTAAAGTCCCAGACACTTCAGAAACCCACATGCGGGCCCCACAGGACCTCCGGTACGATAGTGTCTGGCTCGGTTAGATGGGTCCTCGCAGGGATCTTTCGGGCCGTCTTGGCATCTTGGGCTGCTTCTCTTAGGACCTCCTGGGACTGAGACTGCAGAGGGCTCCAAGAAAATCCCAACGCAGCCAGGAACCTCTGGTACGGTACACTGGGGTGTTGTTTGAGGGCCCCTCTTGTGGCCTCTTAGGGCTCTTTCGGACCGTTGTCGTTGTAGCTGGGGCTGGGACAGACAGCGTTGCTGCGTCAAGTGCGTTCAGGTTCCGCCCCAGGCGCCTAACCATGAGATTCTCGATTTCTCCGAGACGTCGTCCAACGCTGACCTCTGTCTCCTCGAGGACAAAATAACCCCTGACCCTGGGAATACAGGAACGACGTGGCTTCACTGATGTTCCCTTTTTCACATCAGTGCTACTAGATATGATCGGCTTGGTTCGCTACATTTGCAGGCAGGACCCCCTATCCTCAATGTCCCTGGCCCTCCTAGATGAGGTCGCCTCCCAAAGGATTAGGAGTTATGCCCAATCAGTTTCTTCTCTTTGCTTCGCTCCGTCTGCCAAGGCGTGCGTCCGCGCACCGTCAGGGGCCTGGCCCGCTGGACCGTCTGCAGACCGCTCGCCCTCGCATCTGTCTCTGCGCGGCAAGAGCTGGTGGCGACGCTAGGGGCGACTAAGTCCAGTGGCGACCATGACACGTATTCGCCCGGGAGCCTCGCCGAAGGCATGTATTCATATGCGCCCCTGGTTTGAGTGCATAGCTCGCGCCTGGGCACTTCGCCTTTATTGTCGCCTCCCAGAGGATGGGGCGGTGGTTACCTGGGGCCAGTGCGGCGGCGACAGTAGCGTCGCCGAGCCAATGCTGCGCACGGGCGGGATTCGGGAGCTGGTCTCGACGCTGGGGGCCTTCGCGGCCGTCAAGGACGGCAGAAGGAGGAGGAGGAGGCGGAGGAAGAGAAGGAGGAGGAATGGAGAGGAGGAGGAGGAGGAGGAGGAGGAGGAGGAGGAGGAAGAGGAGGATGTACGGAGGGCACCGTGTGGCCACTGGTGTGCTAGTCAGTTTTTGGCACCTCTTTCCTTCTCCTTCTGACGAGGAAGAACCAGTAGGAGGAATGCACCACCTCTGCGGAGAGTCCGTGGGGGGAATCCACGGCGGGGCTTCTCAAACGCCCTCTCGCCTTTGATTACGATGATGATGATGATGGTGATGATGATTATGATGATGCGGATGATGATGATGATGAGGATGAGGATGATGATGATGATGATGATGATGATGATGATGATGATGATGACGATGACGATGCTGATGCTGATGCTGATGCTGATGTTGATGCTGATGCTGATGCTGATGCTGATGCTGATGCTTATGCTGATGCTGATGCTGATGCTGATGCTGATGCTGATGCTGATGCTGATGCTGATGCTGATGCTGATACTGATATGATGCTGATGATGATGATGATGCTGATGATGATGATGATGCTGATGCTGCTGATGATGCTGCTGCTGATGATGATGATGATGATGATGATGATGATGATGGTGATGCTGATGCTGATGCTGATGCTGATGCTGATGCTGATGATGATGATGATGATGATGATGATGATGGTGATGGTGATGGTGATGATGATGATGATGCTGAGTCGGATGAGGCTGAGGATAAGGATGAGGATTGGGAGGAGGAGGAGGAGGAGAAGGAGGAGAGGGACCAGGAGGAGGAGGAGGAGGAGGAGGAGGAGGAGTTTGAAGAGGAGGCGGATAAGGAGGAGGAGGAGGAGGAGGAGGAGGAGGAGGAAGGGAAAGGGGGAGACGGAGCAGGAGAAGGAGAAGGAGGAGGAGACGAGGAGAGGAGCAGGTGGAGAAGAAGGAGTGAAAGGAGGGACAGGAGGAGCAGGAGGAGGAGGAGGAGGAGGAGGAGAGGAGTGAAAGGAGGGACTAGGACTATGAGGAGAGGAGAGGAGGAGGAGGAAGAGGAAAAGGAGGACGAGGAGGAGGAGGAGGGAGGAGGAGGAGGAGTAGGAGCAAGATGGAAGAAGCAGGAGGAGGAGGTGGAGGAGGAGGAGGAGGAGGAAGAGGAGGACTAGGAGGAGGATTGGGAGGAGGAGCAGGAGGAGGAGGAGGGAAAATAGGATGATGAAGATCATGATGAGGAGGAGGAGGAGGACAAGGAGGAGGATTAGACTGAGGAGGAAGCGGATGACGAGGAGGAGGAGGAGGAGCAGGAGGTGGAGGAGGAGGAGAGGGAGGAGGAGGAGGAGGAGGAGGAGGAGGAGGAGGAGGAGGAGGAGAAGGAGTAGTTAGGCAACGAGTTGGGATTAAGCGCCCCCCTTGTGAGTCGCGCCGTGGTTCATCATGGTTCGGCCTAGTCCCAAAATGGTTGATCCAAGCCCCCTGCGAGGCCCTGTCCGATCATGGAAGGTAAGAGGCTACAGGAAGAGGAGGGAACTCTCAACAGAAAGCAGAGGGCGGAGAGGAGGATAGCGATGAGAAGGATGAGGAGGAGGAGGGCGAATATCGGAAGAGGGGGAGAAGAGGGGGAGAAGGATGAGGAGGAAGTGAAGATGAGGGGGAGCGAGGATGACGGAGCGAAGGTGAGAGAGCAAATAGCGCACGATGCCCTTTGGGAACAACCCCGCAATGAATAACATATGCTACCACACCCCGCAAATAACAGTACACATCCCTGATCATTACTAGCATTACGCGTGTCATCCCATCCGGAGGCATTTCGCCTCCAGCTTCCGGTGCCGAATGTGTCCATCCTTGCTTCATGCTCAGATGTGTGATGTTCGTGTGAATGCAAATCGCTGGGGACGAAGATTCTCCTCGTGAACTAGAAGTCATCGGAGATGACGATGTTAGTGGCCCTCCGAGGGCCAAGCGCCGCCCGCGCCAGACTGCACTGCGCACAGTTGGTCTCTTTCGCGTGTGTCTCATTGTGGCTTCAATTGCTGGGTGGTGGCCTTCTGTGCGTAAAAATGGAGATGCATTATTTGATGTACCACATGGGCCCCATGTCATTGGAGCAGTGTTGTATCAATATGGTATGTTTTGCGAGTCGGATGCTGGCCGAAAGTCGAATAGAGATTTCAACAAGTTCTTTCCGCATCTTGGTAGGGTCACGAGGGCTGGTGACATATTTGGGATCATATCGTATGTTGCATCCGATCGCATCAAGTTTGAGAACCCAGGGCCAGTAGGTGTAGAGGTGCAGCATTTCATAGACAACTGTCGGGACCGAGGCGTTCGAAACTCTGAACTCCGTGGGCTAGATGACAGGTTTGACTTTGTTCGGGAACTGCTGTTGTGGAAGCCTGAATGTTCGATATGTTCATTATGCACGCTGGTGCCAGCTCTGGCGTCTCTTGTAATTGGCGGCGCGCTCTCCTTGTTTCATTGCGCACCGATCACGACCAAGTCAGAGAGGGCCAGAATGCCGAGAGAACCGCCAACAAAAGACATCAGGCGTCTACTGGGCCATCTTCGGGCCTCGCCGGGGCCCATGTCTTCGGGGTCTCTCGGCTGTGGTGGCGAGGGCATTCAGGTGACCAACCGAATGTTGAAGTTAGCTGTCGACCCGTTGTTGTTGATCGATGGGGTACGGGCCTCGACGTACACAAAAAGCGTGAAAACATACATGGGGCCGCCGACGCATTCAAACGCATCTTCGCCAGATATGCGCACATCCCGTTAGGGGAAGTGTTGGGCCATGTTGAGCCAGTGCGTCTGGAAACGCTTCGTAGAGCTCGGGTCCGCCTCGGTACCACTGCCATGTTGATGACTCGGGCGCTGTTTCAGGATATATTGCGAACGGCCCCACTCAACAGCACCAACATGCATATATTTATTGGTGCGTCTCCTCAACGAAGAGGTTTAGAGCTGCACGCGTCGACAGTCGACATTTGGGCTGGTGACACATTTATCAGAAAAATGATGCCTGCGGTTTCGTTGGCGAGGGAGTTTGTTGACAGGGTTGGCAAGACAACCGCGACACTTTGGCAACTGTTTCTGTTATTCGGACCGTCGGCCGATGTGCTTAGCACGGTGTGCGCGCGTGTCCGCTCAATCACAACGGATCAAGGCACTGAGAGATTTATTCCAAACGTGCCAGGGTTCCTCGGGGATTGTTGCGAAATGCTCGGCAGAAGGTTCAGGCGTGACACATTCGAGGAGCAGCAATTCATGTTCATGAGATGCCTTGAGACGCCAGGCTGGTGCCATTTGTGGGATTTGCTCCTGCGACGTGGTCTTTCATCGTTCACTTGGTTTCCGACTTGGCTTAAAGGCGCGAAGGTTATTGTACATTGGTTGCGGCGGCAACCCATCGTAGACATCTCTGCCCGCAGGCTGAGACAAGACAGGGGGCCAGGCGCCGCCGATATCACCCAATCCTTGAGGCCCCCATCCTGTGCGCAGTGGAGATGGCAGACGTTGCGCGCTGTGTGTGCTGAGTTGAACACTGGCATCGACACGCTCATAGCTTCTTGGGACCCCCTGCAACTGGCCACCAGTAAAGGTAAGGAGTTCGTCACGGCTGCGACGGGCGCCTTGAGATCACCGATATGGAGACGGCTGTTTGGTGTAGTGAAGTGGGACTGCGGTTGGTTGCACCCTTTGTTGCCTTGGGGCCAAGGCTGCGCGTGCCGCCAACCAGGTGATGACGATGCGCCGTCTTGCTCATTGAAGGGCCGCCGACTGCCAGAGGCGTACCACTACTCTATATCACATCTACGCGCTGGTGTTGAGGAGGTCAATGCGTGGTCGGCTGCTTCTTTTTAGGCCTCCCTGAGAGAGTCGCGCGAGAGATCCAAGGGCGCGTGAGGATGGTGGACTCACTGGCGAGGCGCAAGCTTCAGTACTTGGACAGGATGCCACACGCCTGGCTCGCCCAATCGGATTGGGCGAGCCAGGCGTTCGAGACAGATGCATTCACCAGCGGGGACAGGTACCAGCAAACATGCACCATCGAGTACCGAGGGAAATTCTTGTTGCCTGGCTGGTTGCTTCGGGGCCAAGTTGAGGCGCTGGCAGATGACGGCAGTGGAATGCTTCCAGAACTGGCTGCTGAAGTCTCCAGCTTGCGCCAAGCGCCCATTGCTGACAGCGTGTGCGAGCGGCCTCGCGCCGTGGGCTCGCGGGTGGCACAGCGCTCGCGAGCCGCAGAGTGGCCATGGATCGCCAGCGCGATGCGAGTAGATCAAAACCTTGATGACGTAGACAATGCGCCGACTGTTGTCAGCGTTGATGTCCGTAAGGTTTGGGGGTGTCTCATTCGTCGATCATCCGAACATCTCACGCGCAGCGGCGTTCTCGGCTCCAGACTGCCTCCCGAATTCCCAGGAAGAAGCTAGAGGCCAACGTGTATTCGATGGCCCACCTTCTGTCCGACGACGTCGGCCCAGCTGCCGACGACCCTGGCGATGACCCTGATGGCCGCGGCCCAGGCGGCGGTGCCCCACCGCCGCCGCACTTTGGGCCTATCGTTCCACGAGTCCGAGGGGCCCCTGACGGACCGTATGGAGGCGCTGGAGGCGGAGGAGGTGGTGGCGGAGGTGGAGGCGGCGCTGGGGGGATTGGTGCTTTGTCTGGCCACGCCGCAGCTCAAGTTAAGCTGGTTCGCCAGTTGTTGTCGGCTTCGTTGGGGGTGTTCTCATCCATTCCGCTGCCAACTCGCAGCGAAGACGGAGTCGCAGAACCGTTGCTCCTGCAAGTCTTGGCGCTCAAGGGGAGGGGCATCGTCGTGATGACGTGCGAAGACGAGGTCGCCCCGGCGGGCAAGCCTGCAAGTTTTGATCCGGCTGAGGCTTGAGGGAGGATTGAGGAGAGGGAGGGAGGGAGTGAAGAGGGGGGTCGTGGGTGGGGGAGGAGGAGGTGGAGGATTGCTGGTGGTAGGGGGCTCAGGTGAGGGAGGAGAAGGAAG